TATATGCAGTAGCTTGCATTTATCAGTATTGAACTTCATTTGCCAGACATCAACCTGTCAACCTGTCCGCTCCCTCCGTTCAGCAAGCTCCGTCCTGCTCCACTTCGGCCCACTCCACCATCAGCAGTTAGGCTTTCAGCGTCTCTGACCCCGCCATCTGGAACTTCATCCCACATTACCTTTGCCTCGCTCCCTCCCTTGCCTCCTTCAAGGCAAACCTCAAGACCCTCCTCTTCGACCGTGCCTTCGGTCATTCTCTTATGCTCCCTCCTCCCTGATCCCAACCCACCCCCCCCGCCAGCCCCTGCTCGGATCCTAATTCCTGATGCTCAGAACTTTGGGACGTTCTCCCGACGTGAAAGGCGCTTTACTTTTTTTTTGTATTGTATTTTGTATTGTATCAGCCTATGTGCATTAGCCTATTGAGCTCTCTTTATTGGACCTTTGCTGCATCCTCTGACTTCACAGGCCCCACCCCCCATCCCCCATCTTGGTGTCTCCTGAAAAAGTAACTATCTTACACGGGTCTGGCAAAACCAGATCATTCATATATACAAGGAACAAGAGAGATCCCAGTACAGATCCCTGAAGCACCCGATTAACAACTCCGACCATAGTGACATAGCTCTCTTTACGACTACCCTCTACTTCCTTCCCTTCAGCCAGTTTCAAATCCACATCCCTGTCCTGCCCTTGATACCCAGTGACCTCAATCTGTGGAGGAATCCTTCATGTGGAACTTTGCCTGTTGGAAGTTCACAATATATGGTTTCCCACATTTCATTTGGCAGTCTGTAGCAAACCCCAAATGTCAGTCTGGCCCTTTTGTCATTGAGGGCATCTTACCAGAGAATTTCAGAACACGGTTGATCCTATTGAGCATGATATAGAAAGATCAATCCCCGAGGACAGCAGGGGCATGGGCAGGTGGTCTTGTCATCTTATGCAACAGGTGAGAAGGAATATTAAATTGGGAACATCTTGCCAGGAACAGTCAGCAACTCAGGATTGGTTGCTTACCCCTCTCTGACCAAACAGATTGGGCCGCACCCAAAGTTAACTGGTTGATTAGGATGGTCCCAGTAGTTGGGGGTGGGGGAGATGAGACCAGTCAATGGAAACTTGCTCCCATACCCAAGGCTGATATTTAATGCCAGCTCTGAAATAGAAATTCTTCATCACTTCCATTACTAAAGCGCCCTACAAGAGATTTGGCTTTCTCTTTTCTGCCACAAAAACGATTTCCAGCGTGTAGAATCTGCCAGCATTGTCAAAGCCTTTCGAATTGTCGGGAGGTGCTCTGGGATGCTACCCTGCATGAGGGGTGCTACATAAGTACAAGTTGTTGTTGTTGACGACATTTTAAAGGACATCAAAGGGCTTTACTATAAAATGCAGTGAACATGTATTTTGTTGGCAAACACAGCAGCAATTTGCGCATCAATGGCCATAGAGTGAGTGATCAGTTTAACTTTGAGGGATTGTTGGCCAGGACACTGGGAGAAACTCCCTTTTCTTTTCAAGTAGTGCCATGGGACCTTATACATTCACCTCGCATTAGAGTGCCAGTCTAGACTTGTGAATTTCAAGTCTCGATGTGGGAACCCCTTGTGATTCAGAGTTAGAGTGCTACTAACTGAGCCAGGCAAACTCTAGGCAAGATATGATACTTAATATTAAGTGTATTTACTTTGTCATTGTACACTTCATTTCAGTTAGAACCATGTTTGAAATGTTCCTTCCTTTTTTTTTGAAGGGATTATTACCCCAAGAAAGTGATCTGCCAATCAACTAACAAATGGGTTCCTGCTTACTACCAGATAAAAATAGGCATGTGGAGTCAGGAAACTTGCCTAAGATTTCAGCCCGCCCAGGAATCAAACCCAGGTCCTCTCACTTGCGAGGCTAGTGCTTTAATCTCTACTGTTTACAAAAAGCAGTCACTACATATGAATGTACCTACTGTTAACTGCTCAATGTTAAAGCTCAATGATGTTTCACTGTTACAAGTGCTTTCTTTCTTGCCAATCACTACTGGAAATGTTTTTGTTTATACAACAAAGAAAGCTTTTTTTTATATAAATGAGCGCTTAACTGAGTCTGTACTGATTGTACAATTGGAGGAAAGAAATTGGCAGTGAAGCAACTTCATTCACTTTATAAATGCAATCTGGAGGCTCACATGGAAGGACACAGCAATTTCTTAAAGGGAAGGTGTCTTCAGGCAACAGCCAAATCTTAGGATCCAGCTGGACCTAATCTTACAGTATGTGGGGGTTGCGAGAATGAAGAAGAGAAGCCATTATCAGGGCATATCATCAAAGTTGCTACATGTAATGACCGAGTTAATATAACCTCCATACACCCAAGAAGTCTGATTTGCATTTGGAAAGGTTAGAAACAAAAGGTTGAATGAGGACAACTACAGCAGCAAGAACATATGGTATTTTAATTGTACAAGGTTATAACACTAAGGTCTGGGTCCATAAACTCAGATCCCTGCATTAAAATGAATCACGAAAAGATATCTGATGTCGGAGGTGACCAGATAATGTGGAAAATAATCAAGTTTTCATGTGGGAAGCTGGCTTGTCAGCAATGGAAATCGGGTGCCTCTGGTATGATTGGCCACCTACTATTGGCGGTCAGGCTTTTCTGCCCCCACCCTCTGGAACTCCATCCCTGAATCCCTCCGCCTCACCCCCTTCCTCGCTTCCTTCAAGGCCCATCTCAAGAGCTTCCTTTTTAACCATTCCTTCAGCCACATTCCCACCCCTCTTGATTCCAACCCCAGCTCAGATGCAAACCCTTCACTGTCCTGTGCCTCGGGGCATCGTTCCGATGTAAAAGGCACTTTATAAATGTAATTTTTTGATGTTACAATGCAAGTTCATAGTGCACCAGGGCTATACATACCCCGGTCACTCTGCACATCCTTTCCCTTTAAGAACTGGGGCTTTAAATGTTGGGTTTAGGCAGGAGGTATAGGCACAGAGATTAAAGTGCAAACTTTTTACTTTCTGGAAATTTCCTCTATAAAACTTTAACAGGTTGTTCAGATTCCAGCTGACCCTCACAGAGCCACAGGGCACATATAACAAAGCTACAGTAAGAAAAAATAAGCCAGGCAGTCTCAATTGAGTGCAGACTAAACTGCCCAACAGAAACCTTCTCATCATTTGTGGCTATTGGTAACCAATGAAATAATTTGATTCTGAAGCTGCAAGGCGTTTAACAAGAGCCCACAGAGCCCACTTCTGTGTCCTGAAACACTATTAGTTTACTACCCTCTTTAAAAAACAGAATAAAGATCAGTCAGTATTGAGACAAACCATTTGAAGCCCTCATTTCTCTCAATCTCTCACACGGTGTCTGCCTGGCTCATATGGTAGCATTTTTGCCTCTGAATCAGAAGGTTGTTGGTTCAAATGCCACAGTGGGATTTTGAACTCATTCCTGGCTGACACTCTAATTCATTGCTCGGGGTGTGCTGCATTGTCGGAGGTTCTGTCCTTTGGATGAAACATTAAACTGAGGCCCCATCTGACTGTTCAGATGGATGTTAGTGATCCATTGCACTATTCAAAAGCGAAGTGTTTCTCCCAGCGTCCTGTCCAGTTCCTCCCTCACCACCCCCGCACCCCATAAAAAAAGTAATTGTTCATTCACTTCATAGCTGTTTGAGGAACATTGCTGTATGAAAATTGCCAGTCGTGTTTGCCTACAAAATACCCAGTCACTCCACTTTACAGTGTATCCTGTGAAGTGCTTTGAGACAACATCTCAAAGGCGTTAAAGATGAAAGGCATTAATTCAAATGGTAAGCTTTTTTTTAATGTGAACACTAGAGAGAAAAAAATACATTCTTATCCTAAGAGGGTTCCTTTAATAAAACACAGGATTTAGAAGGGAGAGGGAGCAGCCAGCTGCATAATAGCTTTCTGATACGGTTGTGAAACTATTTGGTCGTTGTTTAAAAGTAACCTAGAAGAAGATGCCATGGGCAATCGTTGCGGTTCTGGAAGGGAAACATTGGATACAGAGCATTCCAGCTGCATTTGGATGGCAACATATTACCAACCATCTGAAGTACATTTATTGCAGTTCAATCTATAAGTTCCAGTAATGCTGCTTCTGGGGCCCCAGGCTCCTCAAAACCTGGAGAGTAATTCTACCCCTTCTCCCTCTGTTTCTAAACATTGCCTTTTTGGCAGCTTATTCAACACACACAAAAAAAACTCTCTTACAGGGACTCTGACCCAAGGAATAAACTGCTGAATCACAGGATATTGTCAATTGAAATAAATTTTCAAACTTCGGCTCAACATTTCATCACCTATTAAAACAAGGATATTGATTGTGTTTTTTTTAAAAAATGTCACCTTTCAGCATTCTCTCAAAAGCCAGCAACCTTTCTAACGTGGAAAAAAAGCAACATTCTTCTTCATGAATTGTGTGGGTGAAGCTTTTTTTGCTTGCCAATTTCTACCCTTCTGCTCTCTCAAAAGGTGCTAACTCCTACTAGATACAGTTCAGTGGGTTCTAGTTGCCCTCTGCATATGATCCAAGTGGCAAATTGATTCTTGACAATGTTGTCACAAATCTGCTAGCTTGGATAGCAAGTTATTCTCCTTTGGGTGAGGCTGGGTGGAAGGTAAACAGGGCCGTTAGGGCTGAGCTGGCTATGCACTGGAATCTATGGCAATCTCGGTAGTACAGTTTCTGATCAAGCCTTGCCTTCCTCTCTGACTGTCCTTTTGGCCTTATTCCCCTCCTCCCAGCTCACTCCCAATCTGGACTCCCGCTCAGTGTCTGTAAAGTCTTTGAGGCGTTTCCCCAAAGAAAAAGGTATTATCTGAGTGTAACATGTTGTTCTTAGCCACAGTGGGCCTGATCCCAATGAGTACATATGTGAGACTCAATTCTGTAGAGCCGATGAGAAAAATTTCACTGGTGAAATATTGGCAGTGATAACATTTTAAGAGAGACACTTCACCTACCATCTGCTTTTGTGTAAATGGAGATATTCCCATTGACGAGTCCAGCGTACAGGCATCGCGACTTGTACGTGAGGCTCATAACAGTAGATTTATCCGGAGAAAAGAAGTGCTGCAGTCGGACTTTCTTGGCGGCTTGATTACTCTTGTACACCAAAATGCTGCGAGGTGTAAAGAGCACAGAATTGTCATCATTACAAAAACAGGCCCCAAATCCATTCACAGCCGCTGGACAGAAATGAGGGGTTCATTGCAACATTATTTACGCAGCGCAGCCTATTCCTGTCTTCTTGTTTTTCAAACTCACTACTCGATGACTGAGAGCAGTGCTTTTATTACGCCAATAATAACCTTTGTGTTTCATATAATATCTTACACATTGGGAGGATGTCGCAAAATGCTTCACAGGATTTAAAGTGGAGTGACTGTCCATTTTGTGGATGCAAACCCTTCGCTGTCCAGCACCTTGGGATGTCTTATCGATGTGAAAGGTGCTTTATAAATACAATTCATTGTTGTGAATGGGACAGCCAATTTGTGCACTTTCTAACCTAAATATTAGGATTATTAAATACTGTAAAGACTAAAATAGTGTTAGGACTGGTGCCAGTGCTTAACAGTAGACCAGCTGTGTTTAAACATTGATGTATTGACCACACTCTAAATATCAAAGGGATGAGAGGTCACAAACAGTCAAACAACAACAATAACAAATTATATTCGTATAGTGCCTTTCACATCCCAGAGCGCTGGACAGTCAGGGATTTGGACCCAAGCAGGGATTGGGATCAGGAAGGGTGGAGGGTAGGGAGGGTGGGGGCAGGAAGCTGACCGAATGTATGGTGAAGAGAAGTGTCTTGAGACTGGCCTTGAAGGTGAGGATGGGGGTGATTGGGTCACAGAGCTTGGTAGAAGGACAAAAATAAACAGAACATGTGTTTGAAGATCACTAGTTAGAAATGTAACTACCTTAAAAAAGCTTCTAAATCCCATAGACACAGGAAACATCTGTGTGTTTAAAATGACTTATATTGAAATGCTTTAGGTGAAACTAGAGGATTTAGACCAAACAAAACAGAAATGTTCAAGGACTGTTTGCACAAAAGCCTTCTGCAACATCATTTGGCATCCTGGAGATCTTGGGATACAATTTATGCTGAGAATATTTTCTTAACAAATTGTTCAGGATACGCGCCTGCAAGATGTTAAAATGCCTGAACTCACTTGAGGTACTTATAGGTGGCCTCTCTCTCTCTATATATATATATAATAATCCTTGCATTTGATATAGCGCCTTTTCACATCTTTGAGACATCTCAATGCGCTTCACAGAATATACTGTAAATATACTGAATTGACTGTAGATTTTGAGCAGTGTCCCACAAACAGTCTATTTGTATATCTATATATATAGTATATATAAAAATTCATTAATCCAACTGATTCCCAATCTGTATCATTTAAAAATTTACTATAAATCTCAGAATTAACCAGTTAAAAATCCATCACATCATTTGCATGCTACGAGCACTGCAATCACCATTTATGCTTCCCAATGCAACCTGGAAATTAGTGAATGCAACTTTTACACAACCTTTTCTGAATACTGTTCCCAGATTGTAACATTTTTATTCAGCATTCTTTAGCTATCATTAAACTGCTTTGCTTTTGCAGAGCAACAAAAAAACATGAATCACTAAAAGCCTGCTCCACAGTCACAATTTTGTTGTCCTACCTCACAAAAATTAAATATCCTAAAGCTGGGAGTCAATGTGCTACAGTTAATATCTTATCACGGACTGATAAATTGCTGCTGTACAGCAAATATTTCAGAATAATATTAATAATCCTTGCATTTGATATAACGCCTTATCACGTCGTTGAGACGTCTCAAAGCGCTATTGTAAAGTGAATTGACTGTATATTTGTGGGCAAAATGTGGCAGCCAATTGCCCACAGCACTGCCCCACAAACGGTGGTGGATTGAGTGACCAAATTATTATTTTTTTGGGAGGAATTATTGTCCCTGGAAAGCGATCCGTTAATTGACTAACAACCAGGTTCCTACTTACTGCTAGTTAAACCAAGGAGTAAGGAAACTTGCCTAAGGTTTCGCCCTGCCCAGGAATCGAACCCAGGTTCTCTCGCTTGCTCTAACCACTGAGTTACAGGATTCCACAGAGACAGAGAATTTCTCTGTCTCTAATCTTCTATGCTTTATTCATGCCTGTCATAGAATTAAGAGGCTGGGCAGTCAATCATCTCCAAGGCATCAGCCAACGCTGCCTGTTGGAAAACATCAAATAGTAACCCTTGGGCTTCTCTTCTGGTGTTCATTTCCCCTAAAACCTCTCTTCAGTGCTGCCCACAACACTGTAGATGAGATTAGAAATTCAGCATTATGACGGATCGAATCACTACAGATGTTTCAACAACACGATAAGGCACTTTTAATCAAATGCAAAGGTTATTAGAATTACACTGTTATAATAATAATAAGCCTTGCATTTGATACAGTGCATAATCACATTGAGACGTCTCAAAGCATTTCACCGAATATAATGTAAAGTGAATTGACTATATTTTGTGGGCGAAACACGGTGGCCAATTGTGCACAGCAGTGTCCCACAAACAGTCGTGGATTAGTTATCAATTTATTATTATTTTTTAAGGAATTATTACCCCTGGAAAAGCGATCCGCCAATCGGCTGACAACCAGGTTCCTACATACTGCTAGGTAAACAGGTGTGTGGAACAAAAAAACTTGCCCAACATTTCGCCTGCTGGGAATCAATAATAATATAATAATAATAATCCTTGCATTTGATAGAGCGCTTTTCACGTCAGGAGGACGTCCCAAAGCGCTTCACAGAACACACTGTAAAGTGAATTGACTGTATATTTGTGGGCGAACGCGGCAGCCAATTGCGCACAGCAGTGTCCCACAAACAGTCGTAGATTGAAAATTACCAATTTTATTATTGTTTTTGGTTTGTGAGGGATTATTATTAGGCGTGTGGAGTAAGGAAACTTGCCCAAGGTTTCGCCCTGTCTGGAATCAAACCCAGGTCCCTCACTTGCGAGGCGAGTCCTCTAACTACTTAGCTACAGGATTCCATTTTAGGCTATAATGAAGGCCACTTATTCAAAGAAATGCAATTACTGGATCCACTGTGTATCTCACCTCCCTTCCTCCATGCCAAGGCAGATGGTTGGGGTTTCAGCAGTCTTTGTGCTCATAGTTTCTAAATCGTGGAAGACATCTGAGTCTTCTAGCTTGTCTTCATCTGGGACATACACCATGGAAAGGATACGAGACTCCACATTAAAACATTCAATAACCTTTGGATTGGAGTTGTGAAGTGTGACTATCGTGATTTGCCCCATTTGATTTGTGCAACTCCCAATCTGCAGACAAAAGACATACCAGAGAATAGATAAATTGTACAGTTTTGTGGGTCACTCATAATCCAACCGGATTTTCACACACATATTGTGCATTTAATAATTGTAATAATAATATTATTATTAATAATAATTGTACGTGGTTACATGGGATAGGTCTGTCGCAGTTCTAAGATGAAAGCGGTTTCTTATTTATCGGTACTAAACTTACCCACAGATATCCGTGCCCCATGGAGAAAGAGTTGGGGGTGTTATCAGATGTAATGCTACACTCTGGGTTATGAACCGCACACTCAATCTGAAAAGAACAGACTTATTGTTCAAAATTACACAATTATTCCTAAATATCCAATTGTACAATACAGCCCATTCCTTAGTGAACAATAAAATAATTGGATCTGATTATACTATTTTCAACACAATGGGAGCAGGTGCATAACAAGTACAGTACCAACAACAACAACTTGTATTTATACAGCGACTCTCTCGCAGGGCAGCTTCACAGAGCACTTTGGAACATTGTTTGAGACGTTAAACACAAAATGTCAATCATTTTAACTGCTGAATCCCACAACGGCTTCAGTGATAAAAGTATGAGTAAAACGCAAAGCAATAACAATTATCCTTAAATTTGACACAGTGCCTTTCATGTCGGGAGGACATTTCAAAGCTATTTGTCCCATCAAGACTAAACTGATTTTAGCAACTCCACTCTTAGTTTAATTCTCTGCTTTTTTCTGTTTGTTTTTGTATTCCGTGTGAACAAAAAATGGTCAGAATCCACAACAGGTTCTTCAAGGGCATTGAAGGCATCACTGCCAGAATTGAATCTATCCTTCCAGAGAAGCAACCATGTGCACATCCAGCTGTGGTCACTGGATAGCATTTAGGAATAGGAACCTGACTGATTTATTTCTGCAATTCTCAGTATTTGGACACACGGTCCATTTACCACCTAGGTTAAAAAAAAGTCCAAGCAAACATTTAAAGAATGTCTCGATGATAATAATAATATTCATCTTTGCATTTCATATAGTGCCTTTCATGTCAGGAGGACATCTCAAAGTCCTTCACAGGATTTACTGTAAAATATGCTGACTGTGTATATATTTTATAAGTGAACATAACAGCCAATTTGCACACAGCAATGTTTCACAAACATCCATGAAATGAAGCACCAATTTTATCTGGGGGATTATTGGCTAGGATACGGGGAGAAACTCCCTTCTCTTTTTGAATAGTGCCAAGGGATTTTCAATGTCCACATGAACAGACAGAGCCTCAGTTTATCTGAAGAACGGCATCTCCAACAGTGCAGTGCACACCCAGCACTAGCATTGGAGTGTCAGCCTCAAAGTTTAAGTTCAACAAGCATAGACGTAATAATAATAATCCCTGCATTTGATATAGCGCCTTATCAAGTCTTCGAGACGTCTCAAAGCGCTTCACAGAAATATACTGTAAAGTGAGTAGACTGCATATTTTGTGGACTAACGCGGCTGCTATTTTCACACAGCAGTGTCCCACAAACAGTCATGGATTGAGTGACCAAATTATTATTATTTTTTAAAATTGTTTATTTGTTTTTGAAGGGATTATTACCCCTGGAAAATCGATCCACCAATTGACTAATTACTACTAGGTGAACAGAAGCGTGTGGAGTAAGGAAACTTATCTACAACAACAACATTACATTTGTATAGCGCCTTTCACGTCGGGAAGACATCCCAAGGTGCTGGAAAGTCAGAGTTTCGGACCCGAGCTGGGGATTGAGATCGGGGAGGGTGGAGCGCGGGGGGGAAGCAGGGTGATCGAAAGCACAGTCAAAGAGGAGAGTCTTGAGATGGGTGTAGAATGAGGCAAGGGAGGGAGGGAGGTGGGGTAATGAGGGATGGAGTTCGAGAGAGTGGGTGAAGAGTGGCAGAAGATCTGCCCGCCAATGGTGAGGCGGGGGACGTGAAGGAGACTGGAATCCACTGAGCGGAGGGAGCGGGCAGGATGGTAGGGGGTTAGGAGGTCACAGAGATAGGGGGAGGAAGACCATGGACGGCATTGAAGGTGAGGACCAGAATCTTGAATTGTATCTCTGTGTGATGGGAAGCCAGTGGAGTCAGGCGAGGAGGAGGGTGAAAGGGTCACAGAGCCTAGTGCGGGAGAGGACACTGGCTGCAGAATTCTGGATTATCTGCAGCCTGTGGAGGGAGGAGTTGGGGAGGCCGATAAGCAAGAAGTTTGCATAGTCGAGCCTCGATGTAATTAATGCATGTATGAGGAGGCGAGAGGAGAAACGGTTTGTGGAGATGAAGTGGAAGTGGTGTGAGAGGTACGATCTGAACCAGTCAAAGACAGAGTTGTGAAGGTTGAGGTGAGAGGAGAGGCGGTGGATGAGGATAAAGTGGTCAATGGTGTCGAAGGCAGCAGAGAGGTCAAGGAGGACGAGGGGGCAGAGGGAGCCCTGATCGCAGATGGACAGAATGTCATTTGTCACTTTGACCAGGGCCGTTTCTGTGCTGTGGGCGGCATGGAAACCTGATTGGATGGGTTCGTGAAGGGAGTGGTGGGAAAGGAAGGAGCGTACCTGGGAAGCAACAACTCGTTCCAGAACCTTGGAGAGGAAAGGGAGGTTGGAGATGGGCCACTAGTTTGAGAGCAGTGATGGGTCCAGGAAAGTATTTTTAAGGATAGGAGTGATGACGGCCATTATTAATGGGGTGGGAACAGTACTAATGAGACAGAGAGAGGTTTTGATGTAACGTTTCGCCCTGCCCGGGAATCAAACCCAGATCCTTTCACTTGCAAGGTGAATGCATACCTTAAACTCCTGGATTTTTGACATCATGACAGGCATGTGCCTGACAAGAAGGGGATGTTTCTGGCGCTTTACTCGTTTTCCATCGTCTTCTGCACAAAACCAACCCAGCTGGTTTTCTTCCTCTATAACAAAATAAGGATAAAAAATTAATAAGATCTCCCTATTTTTATCCCTTCCAAATCCTCACGTCTACATAAGAAGATTTCATGGACACATTATTTCAGTCTCTGAGTTTTGGCAAGACACAATATTCTGATTTTGGATATTGCGTAGCTGGAAATTATGCCCAAAAGTGTCTCCCTTCTTTCAATTATTCCCCATTATATCAACAACAACAACTTGCACTTATGAGTGCACTTATCCACACAGGGTAGCATCTCTGAGCACTTAACAGTGGTGGAGCCTGACTCCGAGCCGAGGTGGTGGGGGAGGTGGCCATAAGCACAGTCGAAGAGGAAGATTTTCAGGCGGCACTTGAAAAAGGGGAGAGAGGGGAGGAGGGATTGAGGGAGAGCGTTCCAGAGCTTTGGGGCGTAGTGGCTGAAAGTGCGACCTCCGATGGTGGGGTGAAGGGCACAAGGGACGAGCAGGAGGCCGGTGGTACCAGTTGAGCGGAGGCACCAGGTGGTGGATTGGGGAGTGAGGAGGTCGGAGAGGTAGGGAGGTACCAGAGAGTGAAGGGATTTCGGTGTTGCAATGCATGCAGTTATGAAGGAAATTAATGCAAATGCAAAACATTAGCAGTAAAGCACACACTAAGTAGCAGTTCCATCAACCTATGTGATCCGACAGTGAAATCTTACCAAGGGCCAATTTGGCCATTTGTAAACTACTCATCCAGGAGAGTTTGTTGGTTGGAGTAAATGTATTGAATACTGCTGTGAAGAACGTAGCCTTGCCAGATCTGCCAAGAACACAACAAGAAATTCAGGCATTTAACATTTCAAGAGATCTGATACCGTTCCAGGCTGCATCCCGAGAACGTTTGACCGCCATTCAGAAGAACTTACACACACCACACCACACAATTTACATTTAAATAGCGCCTTTCACATCAGGAGGATGTATCAAAGGATTTGACAGAGATGGATGGGGATCTGAACTGTTGGAGGGAGCCAAGGAGCTACAGAGGGGAAAAGATGTCCAAAAACTCAGTCAAATAAGTACATTTTTAGACATATTTGAACAAGAGGAGGGAGGGAGCAAGTCAGAGGGACTCCAGAATGGAGTTCCAGAGAGTCGGGGCAAGATGGCTAAAAACCCACCAGTCGAAGATGGAACATGAAATTGGCTTACTGCTGAGGCCACATTTGCAATATTGGGGGTCTAATTACTGGTAATTCTTAAGAGGAGAAGGAATCTTGTGAGAAATCCCATCAACTCATGAGATCTCTGCTCGGTTGGCAGATCAGATAAAAGAGGACTTCCCGTGGGTCAATCTAATGGTTTTCTGGTTACTGTGAAGAGTCTTGGTTTGCAGGACTCAGCTTATCCATTAAGAAATTGCACTGAGAAATAATGCAAAATTAGGGACCATTTTGCGCAGGAACAGGACAATGAGGAAGCAAAAGAGACAGTTCAAAGCAAAGGGATGGGTGTGACTCCAGGCTTGAAGCTCTAATTTATGAAGAAAGACTCTCAGAGCTGAACTTGTTTCAAAGGAGAAAAGAACGAGAGGAGATATTTTGACAATGATGCGAAGTAGAAATGTGTATTTACCCATGCTCATATCATGGGAGGAAACCTATAAATGTAAAATTAAGTCTCGAGCAAGAGGAGAAATTAGAAGGAATTGTTTCTCCTTGAAATGAATAGCACAACAGGAAGCCATTTGACCTATTTTCTCCTGCTAGTGTTTGCTCCACCAAAAAGCCTTCCATCCTAAACCCATTTCATTGCTTTTTCCCTGTACGCTGTAATACCAATCCTCTGCATGTGTTTAGCATTTTGTTTAATTGCCCCCAATTGATTCTGCTCTGAAAGAGTCGCTGGTATCCTACCAAATAGCAGTGAATTTGCGAGCAAGTAGTCCAGTCTCACCAGTGATTAGTATATTTGCCTTGCATATTCTGCATTTGGCCCTCACCCTCTGGAACTCCATCCCTCAGTCCGTCAGCCCCTTGCCCCCTTCCCTTGCCTCCTTGAAGACCCCTCTCAAGACCCTCTTTTTCGACCGTGCCTTCAGTCACCTTCCTTGCCCCCTTGCCCTCCACCCTCCCTGATCCCGACCCCCAGCTTTTTATGAGTCGTAAGGAAGAAAGAGGTCTATTGTATGCTGTTTGCTAACCCAAATTAACTTTTCATTGTAATAAGAACGCAAAGCTTGATCAGGTTAGCAAACGGTACACATTGCCAGGATGTGTTTTCAGTTGAGTGGGTTAGTGGTTTAACTGTATGCCAAACACTTATATTCTTTGATCTTTCTGGTAAAATAATTTAACTTAAATGGATTTTAAAAAAATCAATGATCTAGCAATAACAACAATAAAAATCCTTGCATTTGATATAGTGCCTTATCACGACTTCAAGATGTCTCAAAGCGCTTCACAGAATATAGTGTAAAGAATATAGTCTCTGCTTTCCTTCACCCCTACACCATCCTACCCCCCATGCTCGGGCCCCGACACCTGACTGTACAGCGCTTTGGAACGTCCTCCCGACGTGAAAGGCACGCTATAAATGTAATTTTGTTGTTGTTGTAAAGTTTATTAACTGTGTATTTTGTGGGTGAAACATAGCAGCCAATTGCGCACAGCAGTGTCCCCCAAACAGTTGTGGATTGAGTGAATAATTTTTTTTCTTTGAAGGGATTGTTACCCTTCAATCTGCCAATTGACTAACAATTGGGTTCCTGCTTATTGCTTGGTAAACAGAGGCATACAGAGTGAGGAAACTCGCCTAAGGTTTTGCCTCATCTGGGAATCGAACCCGGGTTCTCTCGCTTACGAGGCAAGTGCTCTAACCAATACTGTACAAGACTCCACAATAAAATACAAGACGAAAGAAGTCAAAATCTTTGCTCCGATTTATCACAAATAAATGTCAAATGTGGGTCCAATTACGCCTTTGCAGGTCTCTTTAACATTAGCTGTACACGCATCTTGTATTCTCCATACAAAGTTGATAACATCAAGCTTACTTGTGGGCAATAAAGGAGTATCTCCATTCCCATGCAAAAAACAATCCCAATAAAAACAAGAACCGATAAGGGAAAGCAAAAATCACGTACATCAACTTTGAAGAATTTAAACCTTCATAGTTTTTGAGCCCCAGATCTGCAATTCCATGTCCTTGGACTTCCTCACTTAAACAAAAAAATAAACTTCACATACATTGTTTTTGAAAAAAAAATCCTAATTTCATTTCATTTTGCAATCGGGTGGCATGCCGAATGGAAAAAGTAGCAGATAGTTAAAGACAATGTTTCTTGTTATATTGGTCATGCTTCCGTAAAACATGCAGTGTCTAAGCCCATGAGAATGCCATTGTTCCTTGGAGTTGCTTAAAAGGATAACCTTGGAGCAGAGCTGTAAAAATCCTCCCCATTGCCAAACTCATATCCAGACCATGCAATGAAATAATGCCAAACACCAACTGGGCATCTTGACAAAAATGGAAATGGATCCGTTACTGACCAGGCAGCTAGCGACAAGGTGTAAAAGGAATTGCTTTATTTGAAATTGTCCATGGATTAATGGTGTTACAGCATTCACACTGCGGTCTCAGTAGCCTGCAAAACATTTCTTAACTAAAGTCTCTGAGGTGTGCGTTAAAATATACTCAATACCAACTTGTCAAGCTTTCCAGGTAGCTGCAGTTGGATTCTGCAGCGATCTGCTGCTCTGATTTCCTCTTCCTTTTTAAGTATAAGTTTCTGAAGTCCGGCTGTCCAGTCCTGACTCACTACAGGATTTAAATTCTGGAACAGAAGAGAATTACAAATCAAAAGAGGTTACAGAATCAACTAGCAAAAAATATTTACTATTGTCTAAGTGGAACAGCACTAGCAAAGCATTGCTAAAGGCGTAAACAACTTGACAACATGTGCTATGTGCAATTTCGTGCTCACTAATGTGTTAATTTTGATTTCTGGGACAACTAAATCTCACAATGGAGAAATGTGATGTCTCAAAACAGATTGGTTTGAGGCAACAATGACTAGAGGACGCAGATAGAAGATAGCCAGAACAGGAGAGAAAGGCGAGCTTAGGAGTTTTTTTTCACACAGAGTTGTTGGGATGTGGAATACCCTTCCAAGTAAAGTGGTAAGAGGCAGAATCCATTGTGGGTTTCAAAACAGAGGCAGACAGGTATATGAAAGATAAAGCCTTGAAGGGGGATGGGATAGAGCTGGGCAGTGGGATTAAACGAACACCTTGCTCTGAGAGTCAATGAACACTCAATGGACTGAATGGCCTCCTGTGGTGTACATTTCTATGATTCAATGTGACAAAGTCAAACTTTTCACTATGTAGTAAAATATTTGTTGGTCAGTTGGATGTCTGACATGTGCAGAAACCCGTCACCATGCTTAAGATTATCCGGCACTTCTACTCATCCCATCAAAACATGGAGATTCACATGTTTGGAATGGAATGCACATTCTCTTCCCGCATCCTCCAATTCCAGAGAGTATTAGCCGCAAGAGCCAAGGCTTGGGCAGCCCAGGGTGTGTGCTGAGATCCTGCTGGTGCAACTTTTAAATTGATGCCAAGAAAGGCAACAAACTGAGAAAAGCATTTCATTCCCACTTTACCTGGTAATTTCCTTTCAAGTTTCCTACAAGATGTGTAATCTGTCCGACCACGTTTAAATCATGCATTAGATTTTGTAAATCCTGGTACAACTGTCCCGGGCCCATGTATAGTTTGTCTGGAACAACAAAGATAGAATACAGGAGTATCTAATAATAATGCATACAATAATACTTTGACAGAAGGCCTTATCACATCATCAAAGCATCTCAAAGCGCTTCACAGGACGCACTGTGAAGTGACTGTGCATTTGTAGGCAAACATGGCAGCCAATTTGAACACAGCAAAGTCCCACAAACAGCCATGAAATGAATGATCAATTTTATTGGATGGGATTGTTGGTTTAAACACTGGGAAAACAGTCTCCTGTTTTTGAAATCATCCCATGAGATCTTTAACATCTATCTGAAAAGGCAAATGGGACCTAAGTTTGTCTCATCTGAAGACGGCACCTCTGATAATGGAAACACACCCCATTGCACTGGAGTGTCAGCCTGGACAATGAGCTCAAAATTACACTCTCGGGATTGAACCCACAAACTGTGACTCAGAGATAAGAGTTCTACCAACTGAGCCAAGGTGACGATTAGAGACCAGCAAAGACCAGTAAATAATAATAATAATAATCCTTGCATTTGATATAGCGCCTTATCAGAGTTTTCCAGACGTATCAAAGCGCTTCACAGAATATACTACGAAGTGAGTTGACTGTATATTTTGTGGTCAAAATTTTATCAGGATTAAATGGGTAACATTTCATAACCAATCTGATGTCAATTATCACCAGTTGTGGACTATCAGATGACGATTAATTTGCCATAATATTCAAGTTAATTATCACGATGATAGGTGTAAAATTCCACCCGGGTCTAGATTTAGTCTACGAATGGGATATTTCAGAATGCCCAGAATTTGGCAAAGTGTTCAATTTATCCAGCTTAACTTTAAAGCTGGTTTTGCGCACAGTAGTTTCCCAACAGAACTTGAAGTAAACGGCTTCAAAATGAAGGCAGTTTTTAATTTCACTGAAATTCTACGTTAATTGAGTAAATCTAGAACCAGGTAGAATTTTACTCCATATAGTGGTCTTGTGTTGGTAAAAGAATGTCAAAATGTTGCTTTGTGGAGGGTATTGATATGAATTAACAATACATCAATATCCTTCACCCCTAATCTATATCTATGTTGAATGGATTTTGTATTTTCTTGAAAGAGACCAGATAGCGAGATAAATATATTACGTGCACCACACAAATGATTTTCAGAGCGTCAGGAAATGTGATGACCTTGATGTAGCGAATCACATATGCTGATGCTACCAAGGTCGGTGAATTTGTGATAAACCTCTTCAATGTATCCGGTTCAGAGAAAGACCAGGTTACAATGTAAATTTGTGGCTCTACCCCCTCCTCGCTCCCTCCCTTCCCTCCCCTCACCCTGACCATTTTCCCCCTGCTCGGGTCCTGACCCAACTGTCCAGCACCTTGGGACGTCCTCCCGACGTGAAAGGCGCTCTTTTAATGGAATCTTGTTGTTGTTGTTGTTGATAATGACTGGAACAGGTTACCAGGCTGGTTGAGGTCAGGACGCTGAACACTTTCTGTGGTGTATCCCAAGGCTCTAACTTCTTGGTGATATCATCTACGGACAAAGTGTTAACTTCCACATGCATGTGGATGATACCCAAATCTACTTTTCCTCCTCTAGCTATGCCCCCAAGTACACTAATGTTCTGCTTGTTTACCTGTCGGACGTCTAGGCCTGGATGATTGCCAATTTTCTGCAGCTAAATGTTGACAAGACAGAAGCCATACTCCTTGGCGCCCTCATCTGTGGTTCTGATCTCCTTAACCTCCCCGGCCTGTACCTCAGACTCACTGAACCTGTGCATAACCCAGGAGTGAGGTTCGATCCCCAGCTGTCCTTTGTATGCCACACCTGGTCCCTGACTGCTTTCTTCTACCTCCACCACATCGCCCATCTGCGACCATACCCACACCCAATGCAGCTCAACCTCTTGAGCCCACTTTGTTTTCCGAACTTTCAGGCCACAAAAGTCATCAGACATTTCAGGCCTTTTCTTGCACCAGAAACAACAACAAAAACAACAACAAAATTACATTTGTATAGCGCCTTTCACGTCGGGAGGACGTCAACAGCCTGAAAGCAAAATGCCAGCTGCATGTTTGAGTCCACCTTTTGGAACTCCATTCCAGTCCCTTCACTTCACTCCTTCTCTTGCCTCCTTCAAGGCCCCTCTCAAGATCCTCCTCTTTGACCCGCGCCTTTGGTCACCTCCTACCCCTACCCTCCCTGCCCTCCACCCCTCCTGATAGCAACCCCCAGCTCGGGTCCAAATCCCTGATTGTACAACGCCTTGTGACGTTCTCCTGACCTGAAAGGCGCTATACAAACGTAATTTATTGTTGTGAGGTGGTGGTGGTGGAGGGGGGGGAATTGAAGAGAAAGACAGGCCAAGCAGGAGAGTTGGGGACTGAGCTTCTCAGTATTCTGCTGCACGTGAGTGTTTGTGAAAAATTGTTAACACACAGATTACATCAGTGCATTTCAGGAACACTGGTGTGGCTCTGGAAATGCCAGACGCCAATTAACATCTAAAAAGATTTAATCTCTTCACTCGATAAGAAATAGAAGTTAAATCTACAGTATTTGACTCCCTTCTGCCTGTAACCACAACTGAGCAGCAGCAGAAATATAAACTCTTAAACCATTCTTTACAGCCAAGAAGATGACGGATACCTCTGCTCTACTGAATGTATACAATTAACCTTTCACCTCATCGATTATTTCATACCAGTCTAAACTTTCAACTGCTAGACACATCTACTTGATGTGCGCTGCATGGCAATGGAAAGCAAAGCACAAAGTGACTATTGTTACAGCTGTAATCCTGCCTTGTAACAAAAGGACAGTCAATTTATCACGTATGATCCAAGCAAACATTGCCAAATCAGAACTGAACAAGCAGGTTTATCAAAGATTCCCTTTACAAACTGTGAACAAGATGTCTTGTTATAACGTACAAATAGGTTTAGAGACATTGTGGCAGTGCAGAAAAAAACAGAGAGCAAGTGGGTGATGTGTTTGTATAAAATTCTCTCCCCAAATTTCTTCCAACAGAGTAACGAGTCTCGAATTTACACACACCAACTGCAGTGACTGCAAAGAGAATATTTTGTACCCAACAACGGACACTGGGTTCATAATCGCAACGCGTGACATTTCTGGTATGCTTTAAAGTTATTGCTGTTTTTGATTGGGAACGACACTGTTATGTTCAAGTTTTCTCAAAAACTGCTGGTCTGTAACAATTGGCTCGATTTAAATTTGAACTTGTTCCAACATTCAGTGTTGTAATCTTAAACAAAGAAAGCTGTGCCCTGATTCCTGGCAGATTAAGTCTTAATTGTACCACTCTTTCCCCGTTTCCCCAAAACCACCAATTTAAGTAAATAATCCTTGCAGCTGAGTACAGCACCTTCCATGGATGTCTCAATGCACCTCACAGCATTTAGTGGTAATAGTAATAGCAATCCTTACATTTTGTACCATGCCTTTCATGTTAGGAGGACTCCCAAAGCACTTCACTGTACTGTATATAGTGTAAAGTGGTGTGACTGTGTGCTTTATTGTGGGAGAATGCAGCAAACAATTTGGCATAACAGTGTCCCATTAACTGAATGACCAATTTTGTTGACCAATTAATGGCCAGGACACCCTTCACTTTTTAAATAGAGCCGTGGGATTTTTAAAGACTACCTGAGGCCTCACTTTAACGTCTCATCTGAAGAACGTCACATCCAACAAAGCAGCACGCACCAGCACCACGTTGGAGTGTCAGTTTAGTTATATGAGCTCCTAACCCAGAGTTGGGGCTTGAATCCACAACCTCCGACTCATGGCCCCAATGGTGGAATGGAAATGTCTAGGAATGTGCAGGAGGCCAGAGCTGAGTGATGTGGGCGGGTAGAGGAATGGGGTATAAGCAGGTCAGAGAGGTAAGGGGGTGGCAAGGCATGAAGTGATTTGTACGCCATTTGTCATTCTAACTCATATTTTAACAGGATTTTATCACTGTGATTCAGAGCACCAATCTCCCCATTACCAGTGGCTGAAACCCAAGCAATTATCCCACTGCCATCCTGCTGACTTAATGTTGTTTGTCATGACAAATTCAGAAAGAAGATTCGGGTTTGCCTGTTTCGTCTGGAGCTGCATAAATCATATGGGATTAGGGCCACCCTGAATCAATGTGCTTTGCCAAATAGATCAGTTACCATGGAGTTTTGTAACTTAAGATACAATTAAACGNAAAAATATTCGCTCGGCTTTATGTTTGTTCAGTTCAGTACATTGGGATATCATCCAGGAGCCTAAGTAGGATCTCTTCTCTCTTAATTCACCCCAGCGGCTTCAAAATGAAACATTTATTGCAGCAGAAATGGAAATCAACTGGGGTTCAGACCCAGTGGAGAAATGGCTGCAGATAGTTTACTGAACTGTGGTTGGGTTTTGTAAGAATATATTTAAATCTGATTTCTGCTTAATCATTATCAAGCACTGGGATGTACCCGGGATATTTATAATTCCCCTCCAAAAATAATGAGGCCTTTGAGCGGAGGCCCCTCTGCTGCTCTTATGATTGCACATGACGAGGGAGCAGAGGTCCAGTTACTGTGAGGCTCCTGACATCCAACAAAGGAGGAACCAGGAGCAAGGTTTCAGAATCAGGGCAGGAATGGGAGTTCAAGTTCAGGGTAAGAGGAGTGGGAACCTGAGGTCAGGATAGGAATGGGTCTGAAGTGGGGACTGGAGTGGGAGCCTCAGGTGGGGATGGGGATGAGCCTCAGTAGAACCAGAGGCCACGGCCTGTGATCGAAGGGGGGTAAATTCAAAACAAATCTGCGGAAACGCTATTTCAGTGAACGAGGAGCAAATATATGGAACAGGCTTCCTAGGGAGATGGTGGAAGCAGAAAGTGTTGATTTTTTCAACAAAACAAATTAAGATAGATGTCTGTTCGGAAATAATATCTTGGGATACATTATATAGTTCAGGATACAACATGAGTATGCGACTGACAGGATGGTGGAAGGCAAGCTGGATGGACCTTGGTCTTCTTTTGACTTACAATTCTTATGCTCTCAGGTGGGATGGGAGCCAGGGGAATAGGGACCAAGGTCAGGGGAAGAGGACAGGAGCAGAGGGCTGAACAGCACCCTAGTAGGGTTGTCACATGCTGGCAGAAAAAGACATCACCACATCGCAATACAACCATCCAAAACATTGAGAGAACTTATTTCACAGGTCCACTTGCCACAAGTTTACAGAGACGATAAGGTGAAGTTTGTGGCAGTTTACAGTAAATAGTAGGACCACATAATAGAATGTCACAAATGTTATCCCAGCTTTCTCACTACAATTACAATACAATTTGCATTATAGAGTGCCTTTCACATCAGGAAAACATCTCAAAGCATGTAACAAAGCTAGATTGGCACCCGAGATGGGGTGGGATCTAAGAGGGTGGGGAGATGAGGGGAAAGGATACGTCTTCAGATGGACTTTTAACGAGGTGAAAGAAGGAAGAAGTCTGGGATAGAGTTCCAGAGAGTGGGGGCAGAATGACTGAAAGCCCACCAGTCGATGGTGGAGCGGATAGGTTGGAGGAGATGAAGCAAAGGGAGCTGCCGGGTTGGTGTGATTGAAGGAGGTAGCAATGGTGGAATGGGGCAGAGATTTGAACATGAGAACGAGGATCTTGAACTCAATTCACTAACTATACACATCAGGGGTGTCGTGGCAGAGAACAGAGTTCTCCAGAAGCTCGACTCCTGACTTTCAAAATGGGGCTTTGTTTGGTCTTGGTGTAAATCAGACCATCTTACCCCTGCGGAGGTCCCTGGCTATGCCCTGACCAAGTTCTTTTTACACCCAGTTAAAGACAAAACAGCACAGGTGGCACCTTGTGAAGCAGAGCTAAATCGTGTACTTACTCGGTTTTGTACTAATAAGGACCTTTTCTCCTGAATGTGGAGGAGGGTATCTGCTCTTCTCCGCCAGGTCCTCGCTGTTCCCAAACTCCACCACCTCAACCTGCTTCAGAGGAACGCTCCACTTCAACAGGTACCTCAGGCCCGAGGGTATCACAACACTGCCGTCATGTTGGACTCTGAAACCAGTTCAATCTCACTTTAAAAATCATCGCCAGACTTGATAAAACACCAACTCAAACTAGAATAATATTTGAATTTGATATTGTGCCTTATCATATCCTCACGATGTCTAAAAGCACTTCACAGCTCTCCGGAACGCTACCCCGCATGAAAGGCGCTATATAAATACAAGTTGTTGTTGTTATACTGTAAAGCAGTATCCCACAAACAGCCATGAAATTAATGATCAATTTTATTTGGGGCACTGTTGTTCAAGGCACAGGGAGAAACTGCTTTCTCTTTTTAAATAGTGCCATAGTATCTAACATCCACCTCGACAGGCAGCTGACACCTTGGTTTAACGTCTTATTTGAAGGACAGCACCTCTGTCAAAGAAGAAACCTCCCCCAACACTTCAGTGGAGTGTCATCTTAGATGGAGTGTATGGCTTCCAAGTCACACCATATCCCCAACCTTCTGACTCAGAGGTGAGAGAGCTACTGACTGAAACAGGCGGACATAAATTCACTACAGTGGGAAGGACCCACTCACATAAATGTTGTATGAACAACGATTAGATTCAAATTGTACAATATATTGTCTAAAGCAAAGACACATGTAAACTAGGAACCACAGTAAGTTTCTTTCAACAGTGGGTTACTGTTTTTCAATAAGCTATTCATTTTCAGCTGCTTAAACTCCAGCAGTACCCAACTCATACTCTGGGGATCCCAAGCCTCGGCTCTTGCCAACCTGCACCAAATTCTCTCTTAAGTAGGCTGCATCCCTCCGGGGGGGAAGACTGCATTCCAACAAATACCTCTGGAATTTCACGTGTTGTGGGCGCATGTAATTCTCAGTTTGTTTGGGATTCTGTTAAGAATGGTGACGGGTTTCCGCATGTGTCAGACACTTGGCTGATCAAAATAAAATTAACTTCAGAGCTATTTTTTGGGACATTCCTGTATGCAAATTGACTGTTGCGTTTGCAGTGAATCATGTTGAGTGCTTTGAGACATCCTCCTGACTTGAAAGGCACAAAATCAAATGTAAGATTATTATTTTTCATTATTATTATTAGCAAAATATTTTGGTAGCCTGCTAACCAGCAGTCTGCAAGTCTTAAAAATCTGCTTCACCAACTTTGCCCTTGAGATTCTGAATGCAGCATATTTCAATGTGACACATATTGACTGTGCCACTGAATTGACCCCAGTATGAATTTGCCATGGTTGGAGTAAAGTGGTGATTTACGTAACACAAGCGTCTGCAGGACTCGGACTTAATGAAAGAAAAGCAACACACATCCTCGTATCAATTGACCTTTAGTCTCACCCACATTTATAAGCAAAAGGCTCTTCGGGGAACAAATACTCCCTTGTGTCTGCACTTGCATGATTGTTCACAGTCAAAACAAACCAATCCTTCCTTTATCAGAGGTTTACTTTATTGAGACAGCAGCTTCTCTGACTATGTGAACACAAGAACTATGTTTGCAGACAAAATACACAGACACTCAAATTTACAGGAAATCTAGTGACACTCTTTGAGATATCCTCCCAATGTGAAAGGTCCTACATGCAAGGATTATTATTTGGGGTAGGCCATTTGGGCCATCAAGCCTGCTCCTTCCACCGATCAAAACCCACTTACATGGAATGATGAAAAATCCCTACTTGTATGTTCAATTTGAATAAGGAGGTGGAAACTTCTCTGGATAACCGAGGTGCAATCAATCCATTTAAAAGGCAGATTGAGTGACATGTGGGAAGTAAACGTATTAAAGAATATAGAGAAAAGAGGGAGAAAAGAACCCTAGAAATTTACAGCGCAGAAGAAGGCCATTCAACCCATCGTGTGTATGGCTGGCTCCTTTAAGAGCAATCCTTTCAGTCCTATTTACTTGCCCTGTAGTTGACCACTTTAGTTGACTCCTGTTTAGGTATTTATCTAGTCCCCTTTTGAAAGCTAATATGGATTCTGCCTCAACCACCACTCCCAGCAAGACATTCCATATCCTAGCCACTCTATGTGTGAAAAGATTACTCCTAGTCTCCCCATGCTCTCATTTGCTAACTAGCATCAAATGGTGCCATCTAGTCACTGACTCCTCAACCGATGGGATTGAAAGATCTTCTATGATCTGATAAACTGGCGGGTTCTGGCTCAAATGGCCTCTTCCTGTTTCCACCTTCCTATGCTCTGAATCCTATCAGATGAATACATTATAATCATCAAAAAGTTATTAACGGGAATAGCTTCACTAGCATTTGATTGGGAAGAAATTGGGACTCGGAGAAGATAACCTCAGATGAGATGTGATCGTACTTACCGAGAGTGAACTGTAGCACACATCAACACATCGTTCAGCATAAACAGACGTCGCTCTTTGGTTTTCACCATTTCCCCTTTCTCATTGTAAACAGTCTCTATCATGTCATCCGACCTTAACAGGTATCTACTGCCGCAGTGAAGGAGCTGCATTGATACAGAGGGAAGCAGAGTGTGATCAAGCTTCACATGCACAATAACATACACTTGTAGTATGCCTTACACTGAGGATAAGATCTCAAAGTGCTTTGCAGAGATTATGTGAAACTAGGTGACCAAACGGCATGATTCAAGTGGTAGGTTTTCAAAAGTGTTCTAAATAGTATATTATAATAGCTTATTATATAATAATTATGATAAACAGTATCTGAAAATGCAGTTTATCCACACTTGCCCACAAAACACAGTTTCACTTTATAGTGAAGCTGTGAAGCACTTTGCTTCATCTCCTCCAATTTATCTGCTCCACCATCGACTGGTGGGCTTTCAGTCATTCTGCCCCCGCACTTTGTCTTGATGACATGATAAGGCGTTGTGTCAAATTTAAGGACTACTTTTTTTTATTAAGTCTGTAAAAAGAGGAAAGGAGGAAGCAAAGTGTAGAGAATTTGGAAGTTGTAGAGAATGGGGCTTCCATTGACTGAAAGTTTCAATTAACATCCTGTGGCACGGTCACAAACAAAATCTGAGCAATGCTTAATCGTAAATGTTTTGATCTGAAGAAAGCAGCAGCATAATGCAAGAGAACGCTTTCTCGATTACAGTCTTCAGTTTACATTTTTTTAATGGACTATCATTTTTTTTCCTTCCTACCCTTCTGAGCAAACGAGTGTATATGGTTTGCAAACCAAATTAGGCAAATATCAATTTAAGGGATAAAATGTTTGTGATGTAGCAAATGACTTACATTTTGAACTTCACCACATTAAGCTGTAAAGTCTGGGTTGTAGATACTCAATTGTTCAATTGATATATTGCCTCAGGAACATACACTTTATAACTTAATCCTCACAAAAGAGAGAACAATTTCTGGATCTGCTTCAGATTGGAGTCACCAATGTTCAGCATAACTTTCCATCAGTTCCGTGCTCTTACCCGAGTCTCACTGTGAATTTGGCTTCAAATAGATGATGCTCTAGATTTACTATATTCAGTTTTATTTATTAATAAAAATAATAATAATCCATGCATTGGATGTTGTGCTTTTCATGTTGGGAGGATGTCTCAAAATGCTTCACATGATTTACTGCAGTCTTGTAACTGTATTTTGCAGGTGAATACGACAGCCAATTTTCAACTAGCAATGTTCTACAAACAGCCATGAAGTGAATGCCCAATATTATTTGGGCAATTGTTGGTCAGGACTCTAGGAAAAAAAAACTCCCTTCTCTATAAATCCACCTTAACAACCACATAGAATCTCCGTTTCATAGAATCATAGAATTACACAGCACAGAAGGAGGCCATTCGGCCCATCGTGTCTGTGCCAGCTCTTTGAAAAGAGCTATCCAATTCAATCCCACTCACCCGAGCTCTCCCCACAGCCCTGCAAACTTGTCCTCCCCAAATAATTATCTCTTTCGGGAGTAGTTAAAAGTAGTTTAACAACTGTTCTGAAGGACAATGCCTCCGGTAATGCCTCCGCCAGGCCTGTATTAGAGTGTCAGTCTAACTGTGACATCTACTGTTTTGTGTGGAACTGCAATGGTAAAAGTAGTTTTTCTACATGACTGATTCATTTTGAGTAACAGATTTTACTGGTAGCATCAGAACATTTTCTTTGGTCAGCCGGGTGTCTGAGATATGTGGAAACCCATTATCGTGCTGAAGATTATAATGTGCATTAATTTACCACAGTGGATGGCAGACATCTTTGCATTGAATTCAGTAAAGGTAAAGATTTTCTTTGATTTCTAACTGCTTTTTATTAAATATTAATTTTCCTTTCAAGGATTCAAAAAAAATAAAAAGTACCCAATTTCTGGACCCTCCTTCTCCTTAATTAATTCCAGCAAAAAACAAGGAACAGAATGGATTTGGGAAAATCGCATTGTTGACCCCACTGTTAGCTACAGTCACCAAAATAGCAACATTTAAATGAAGCTAAGTGGACAAGGCTCCATGAGCTTTAGGGCAAAGATTCCTCACACAGCAGATCAGCCAGATCGAATAACAGTGAGCTCTGCTCCGTTCAGTCTGCTGCAAGCACCTAACACTAATAACCACCTAACCTTGTTAACCCTGCAAGCGAAAGCCCTAATGGGTGTGGTGGTCCTAGCTGAACAAATAGCGGAAAAGCTTGCCAGAGATTTCTGAGCTCTGAATGGCACGCTGTCCAGTTTTAGCTAGTTAAGACTCCAGCAGTAACATAACGCACACTGCAGGGTCCCCCAAGCCTTGGTTTTTGCTAAACCTGTGCCTAATACAAGTGTCCCGAGATGCTGAGGAGTCCTGTAGCTTAGTGGTTAGAGCACTCGCCTCACAAGCGAGAGGAACTGGGTTTGATTCCTGGGCAAAACCTTGGGCAAATTTCCTTACTCCACACGCCTCTGTTCACCAAGCAGTAAATAGGAACCCAGTTGTTAGTCAATTGGTGGATTGCTTTTCCGGGGGGTAATAATTCCATCTAAAATATAATAATGTCACTCAATCCACTGGTTGTGGGACACTGCTAGCGCGAAACTGGCTGCGGTGTTTCACCCACAAAATATGCAGTCAATTCACTTTACCGCATGCTCTGTGAAGCGCTGTGAGACGTCTCGAAGACGTGATAAGGCGCTATATCAAAATGCAAGGATTATAAATGCTGCTTCTGTTATTTTGCTGTATTTGCGAGGGCTGGTTTCCAAAATACGGGAAATGTCCCTATGTCTGGAACACACACCATTTAGAGGAGTGGAGCTTCAGCAGCAGTTCTTTACCTCTCTGCATACCAATCAAGGTGGATTCCAAGCCCTGAATATATGAGCATGTATTCACAAGCCTGGCTTGAGGTAACACTTTCCACCAGCTGTCGTCCCAAGCCTCAGAGTTTCCTCATCAGCTATTTGACAGACTTCAGTGTGATGCAAGGACCTATACAGGTCAGCTTGTGAATTACTAACCATTTTTTATGGTCTAGAAGTCGATGTCCTGACCAACAATCCCCCAAATAAAGTCAGTCACTCACTTCATGGCTGCTTGTGGGATACTGCTGTTCACAAATTGGCTGCCGTGGTTGGCAACGAAACATACGCAGTTAGTATATCTCGTGAAGCACTTTGGGACATCCTTCGATGTGAGAGGCGTTTATACCAAATGTAAGAAATATTATTATTAAGTCCAATGATAGATATCAGGCTTACTCAACACCACAATTTGATCTGATGTGTGCAGTATGTGGATCGAGATACTGATTAAGCGTTTCTGCCCCCATTCTATGGGTCTCTACCCCAAAATCCCCTTCCCTCGCCTCCTTCAAGGTCCATCTCAAGACTTTCATCTTTGACTGTGATTTCAGTCCCCTTCCGAATCCAACCCCCTGCTCGAGAGCAAACCCTCGACTGTCTAGCACTTTGGATATCCTCCCGAAGTGAAAGGCACCAATATAAATGCAATTTATTGTTGTTGGTGTTGTTGTAAAGTTAGCTGGAAGTTCAAGCAATGAACTCTGAAATTGGATGTTAGCTCTTTAAGGGCTGCGATGAGGGGAGGATTGTAAAAATCAGGCTTCCTGCTCTCAATTGCTCTTTTGCTGAAAGCAAAGTTGCTTCATCACCAGCAGGGAGAATGCAGCACACCAAAGGTCAGCTGTTCATCATCTCTGGCTCTTTGCAGGCACTTAGTGACAGCATCACTGAATCACTTTTCCTTAATCACTCCACTTTGCTTTTTTGACAGTATTGCCTGGGGTTTGTCATCTAACACTGTCGTCCAGAGTCACAGATTTCAGCTTTCCCTTTTTGCACATAGCACGGAAATTGGCTGGAAAGGAACAGGTAGTGGAAAGAGTGAATGGAACCAGCTACAGTGAACGGCACAGGGTGTGATGAAAAGCACTCCATGCTCATTGTACACAGACATGGTCCGTGTCTCAGCTTGTCGAATTCTACTGGGAGATCATCATTCAGCAGTACTGTCATTTGTTTACTTTGAAACTTCCAGTTAACAAAGCAACAAAGTCTGAACGATGAAGATACATGATCTGCTGATACGGGTGTTCCATACAACCCTGTCAATCTAAGCAGATGTGTCAGCCTGGCTCGCCTCTGAGTCAGAAGGCTGTGGGTTTAAACCCCACATTGGGACTTGTAACTCATATAGTTTCACCAACAAAACACGCAGTCAATCCTGTGAAGCACTTTGAGATGTCTGGATTAAGTGGTTAGGCCCAATATCAAATGCAAGGATTATTATTATTGTCAGCTATGGTGACACTGAATGTGGTGCTGGAGGAGTGCTGGGTTGTCAGAGGTGCCATCCTTTGAATGAGACATTCTCCAAAACGAGAAGGGAGTTTCTCCTAGTGTCCTGACCAATAATCCCACAAAAAAATTGGTTATTCAATTCAAGGCTGTTGGTGGGACATTGCTGTGCAAATTGGCCGCATTCACCCACTACTTTATAGTGTATCCTGTGAAGCGCCTTGAGGCATCCTCCTGACATGAAACACACTGTACCAAATGCAAAGTTAATTATTATTATTACTGATGAAACTAAGCTGGGCTGAGGTAAATTTAATCACTTTCTGCTAACCTCAAGGAAGTGAGAGTGGTGGCACCTGGAATCGTGCTTTGTTCCCCATATACAGTCGACAACCAATTTAAGAGCCCTGAGCAATTTCAACGTTAAAGGCTCTATATCAAACAGGAGGAGGATTATTATTATTATCATCTGAAAAGCACTTTCCCCTCGCGCCGTCTCCAATTTAAACAGGGCTGATTTCCACTGAACCATTTGAATGCCTGGAACCAGATTTTGTCTTTGGTTCTGAGCAAAATAATGTCAGGGTATTGGAGGTTCCTAAATCCCGATTGGTCCTAATGTTAAACTCCCCCCAGAGGCAGCTGTCTTGAAAGTCAAGAGTGATGGCGATTGATAAATCACTGTTCAGGTGGCCAGACTGCAGGCACAATCTGTCTGGTAGCTGGCAGCATAAATTGGCCATAACTTTCAGTCCAGCGGGAGATGACAAAAGCCAGTAGCCCCCTAATAGTTTCAAGCTCCTCGGCTCAATTTTTATTGTGAAATTCGCCATGCATTTTTTGGATCAAAACAGTTACAAGTAGTGGCTTCTTCAAAGGAAACTAGGCTTTCTGAGGCTCAACATTTCTCAAGTTTTTTACTGGTCTTAGAAAATGCTGATTTTTGCAAATCCTCATATTCTATCATAACTTGGGAGCTTGTGAAATTCTTCTGAACTGCAGAAAACCTAAAATTGTAGACAGTATTCCAAATGGCCAGCACCTCCATATAACTGGATCCTATTTATTTTATTGACTTGCTTTCTGCTTCTGGGAATTAGATCTTAATGATTTACAATTCTTCCTATAGTGGGTATTGATCCAGCCTCATGAGCAACTTGTGGTAATGAATATTATGCCAAGTGGCATGTGTTAAATAAAATACACAAAGCAGAATTAGTTGTGGGGTAATGAACCCACAAGTGCAAACTATACAAGGACAGAAACTGACAAGATAAAGGTTCCATGATTGAAGAGGATATTTGCACAGATAAGAGTTTCTGATCCCTCAAAATAGTAACAAGAAAACAAAGCATTATTCGTCAAGGAACTACAAATGTTATCTAACTCGTGATTTACAAAGTGACTATCCTCTTTGGGGAGGAGGTAAGCGGAATCCCATTGGAGCTGAATCTTAAGCACCCCGGGACACTACCCTGTGTGAAGGGCGCTATATAAATGCAAGTTGTTGCTGTTGTTGAACCTGCTCCAAGGTAATGTACTCAGCAATGGAATGTCGGAATTCAGTCAATCCTCTGTGGTTGTCTTGTCAGGACTTGGAGGGGCAGATCAGTCACTGAGAACAGGGATTCTTCCCACTCATTTCATTCCAACCCGGCAAGCCGAAGTTCCCCAAGCTCTTGGCAAGTTCTATCTAATTCTCTCCAGATTCGGGTAAGCAGGGTGTGTCCCCTCCATGGAGAGAGTGCACACTGTATTCCAGACACAGAGAAATTTCATTGTGTGTAGGTCAAATCTTAACACTAAATGCTCAATGACGCTGATCACTGGCAAATTAAGTTGAGTACTGATAAATGCAAAGTACTGCATCTAATAAAAACGCTGCAGTCATTTGCGTGCAGCAGTGTCTCACACACAGTCGTGGATTGAGTGACCAATTTATTATTAGTATAAAAATCAGTCACTACTCAGGATAATAATTACCGTGAAGCACTTCGAAACAATTTGATACATAAAAAGCTATAAAAATGCCAGAGTAATTAACGACTGGAACAGATTGCCACGTAGGGTGGTTGGGGCCAGGACACTGGACTCATTTCAAAAGCAGCTCGATGCTGTGATGGGAGGACAGTAGGGAAGAGACTAGATGGGCTGAGGAGCCTTCTTCATCCAAACCAATCTTGTGATTTAGTGCAAGGCCATGACTATTAAGCACCTTGGGATATCCTCCCGACGTGTAAGCCGTTATCTTGTGAAGTTCTCGGTCTCTCTCTCAATACCAACATGTGCTTTATCTGACCTCTACTGGGAGATTTGGGAACTGCACCATTAAGGGGTTCAATCAGCCAAAAAACTAAACACCGAGGGACAATTCTCTGACCGTGGGTAAATTTCCCAAGCTTGGCAGGAGAGTGCACCCTGATTGCCATCGAGTTGATACATACGTCCAACCAATCTGGCGTAAGATCATCGTGAGAAAACAGAAGGATCAGACAAACTCACCGGATGGAGGTCGGGACATTTATTGCTGATTAAGAAATTTTTGGGGGGTGAAAATTCAGCCTAAATTAAGAGCCTCCTTAAGTTTTGAATATGAATTCCTTCCTCAGATGTGTCGGAGGCAGATCCTCTGCTCCTGACTCTGTTCTCAATGCCGATGTCCTGAAGTGGCTTGCGCAGTTGACTTCTGGGTCGGGAGTTTTGACAATTTACCAGGATCTCAAAACTAATGAATAAAGCCACGGTCCCACTTAATCAGCCATCAAAATCTGCAATCCACGAGCTGAGAGGATCTTATCTTCCACACTTCAGGATAAAATTATTATTTGATACTTACAAAATCTCTTAAGCTAAATCCTACTTCAACTACATTGTGTTCTCTCCATATAGGTCATTCAGGTCACCCAAAGCTAAGTTTTTAAAGCCTCCAGGCTAAACAATGCCTCTTAGATATACAAATGTGCTTTTAACGACAATAAAAATACTTGCATTTGCTATGCAGCACCTTTCACACTGGGAGGATTTACTGGGGGGTGTAGTGACTGTGTATTTTGTAGGTGAGAGCCTCCAATAAATGAAGCAGAAAAACAAAAACTACCTTGTTAAGGTAACGTTCGTTCATCGCTTTTGCAATCTGCTTGATTTCACAGCGTTGGTCTGCGTCTCTTTTCTGCTCGTTTAGCTTCTCGGCTAACGTCTCAAGCTCGGTGAGTGCCATCTGAAGAGGTAGTCTGTCCTGGTGACCTTTTGGCGTATTCTTCAGCATGTCCTGTCAAAATCAACAGAGCAATAGGAAAAAGTTTACATCTTTTACTGCAAGTCAAGAGAAATTCTTACAATTTTTAAAAATTCTTAATACTATTTTTTGGAAACTCATCACCGTGCTTGAGAGTATCCAAACCAAACTGAGAGTTTCATGCATCCCACCTACACATGGAAATTCCAGAGATATTTAATGGGATGGAATAAGCACTGTCTCCCTGGAGGGACGCAACCTGCGTATCTAATTCCGGAAAGTATTCGGGACCCTGGAATGTGCATTGGGGTACAGCTGGAGCCTAACAACCTAAAACCACATAGCTTGCCATTGATATCACTGTCTGGCTAGCTTTCCTCTGCTTGTCCAGCTAGGATCACACTCCCCATTAGGGCTTAGGTTTGTAGGGTTAAAATTCTTATAATTTGCTTAAAAACAATCCAATTCCTACAAAAAAACACTGTTGATCCACAAAGACTGCTAACTTCGGAGAATCAATAATTTTAAATATCATTCAATATTCAAAAGCAAACCTGAATCAAGTTCAAATAAATTATCAACTTGCAGGGAGTGAAAGACCACAGAAGTTACATTCTAAACAAAAAAAACTAATGTATATAAGTGCAATTTTTTGTTGGATTACTTTATAATTAGAATAATAACAAAAACTAATTTGAGTTTGAATGTTCTTACAAATAACAATAATCTTTGCATTTGATATAGCGTCTCAAGATATCTCAAAGTGCTTTACAGAATATATGTAAAGTGCAGCTGGTATTTTGTGGATGAACGTGACAGCCCAAACTGTGCATTGCACACAAAATTGTGCATTGGAGTGATTGACCTTTTGTAAGCAAATATCCATTAACATATACATTAATAAAGAACGCGTGAAGTTTAAGTTAATCGAAAGTCATTACCTGAAGTAAAAGAATGAACTGTGGGAAGCGTTGAATTGGCTTCATCATTAACCCATACAGCGTAATGCGATCTGAGCTGGACTCGTGGCAATGCTTGTGAGGAAAAAAAAATTCAGAACTGGGAAGTCAGCAAGCGCATTACTTCATCAAAGTCAACTGTACCCGCGAATATTTCAGGAAATGTTTTTCAAGGAATATGGACAATTTTTAAAATTCAGACATACACAGTCCTATCCTGGGCCACATGGATGTGAAGCCTGGATTTCAGATTGTTCAGGCAGATTAGTATGTTTAAATGGGAAGTAGATATGTATTTGGATAGTTGACTCTCAGCCTGGCTCAGCTGGTAGGACTCTGGTCTCTGAGTCAATAGGTTGTGGGTTCAAGACCCACATGTGTTAGAGCACTCGCCTCGCAAGCGAGAGACCTGCGTTCGCTTCCCAGCAGTGCGAAATGTTGGACAAGTTTCCTTACTCCACACGCCTCTGTTTACCCAGCAGTAAGTAGGAACCCGGTTGTTAGTTGATTGGCGGATCGCGAAACACGGCAGCCAATTGCGCACAGCAGTGGCCCACAAACAGTTGTGGAATGAGAATTTCATGGAAATTTTTCTTTCTTTGGAAGATTATAGGGACGTCCTCCCGACGTGAAAGGCGCTATACAAATGTAATCTTGTTGCTGTTGTTGTATTACCCCTAAAAAGCAATCTGCCAAACAACTAACAACCAGATTCCTATTTACTGCTAGGTAAACAGAGGTATGTGGAGTAAGGAAACTTGCCTAAGGTTTCATCCCGTCCAGGAATCAAACCCAGATCCTCTCGCTTGCGAAGCGACCACACTAACCACTATGCTATGCCACTCTAACTCTTTGTTGCTTGGGGGACCTTGCTGTTTGCAAATTGGCTGCTGTGTAAAGAAATGTGCGTAGGATGGCAACCGTAGCCCAGGGGCACGGAGAGGAACTGTGAAACACTATCTCACTTACACATGTTTTCCTGGTTAAGATTGGCGAACTCGACACTCAGAACGCAAGGTCAAACCTGGGAGCTTCCTAATCGTCATGGTTCAGTTAAAGTTTCACCTGAGTCTAGATTTACTCCATTAACGTAGCTTTTCAGAGTGCAGAATTTGGTAAATTGTTGAATTCAGTTTCAACTGAAATTTTAAAGCAAACCTGCAGAAAACTCACTTCAAAATTAGAGGTTATATTTAAGAATTTGACACACTCTGGAATGCTACATTAATAGTGTAAATCTAGACCCGGGTGGAATTTCTAACCAGTGACTGACTGATATCACTTGTGACAATTATCACCAATGATAATTGTCACATCGCTGGTCTCGTTTCTCTCCTCTATATCGTCACCAAACTTACTCACTTACTTTCAAAAACTCCAGGAAGCCAGGCTTGGTGGCACACACTTTTTTCACAATTCCCATGGCAGTGCTGAAATTGTTCACATATTCACTGTATGCATCAAGCACCATTGACTTCGAAAACTGAAACACAAATAAAAGCAGGTTTGATCATCGTCATTGCTGCGGTTTGTGAATCTCCTCCGAACAGTACCAGCCTTTGTCATTATAACAGAGCCTCCCCTATCCGTGTATCCATCTATGACTGAACGCTGAGTACACAGAATCCTGTCAATCACTTCCTGAGAGTTGTGAAGATGAAAGTGCAGGCTGACGCCATTATACAACATGATCTGTGTCCATAATCTCAGACGCTGTGTTACAATGGAGCTCGGCTAGAAAAACGGCCGCCAGCCAGCAACTTCTTCTGCTGACATCAATTCCTGCACACCATGCAAAAAAAACCACAAACCCTCTCACTAGGCCTTTCCAGTGGTTTGCCAGGAGATAAATGGCTTCTCTTTCTGCGTGCCATGCAAACTCAGTAGTGGAGGCTGATCCATGCTATAAGCAGACTCATTTTACACCTGCAGGGCTGGCCTGCCTCGCCTCTTCAGCTCACACTTTCTGGGACTTTCATAAGTAAAACTCGGTGGTAAAAAGAGATGGTGTAAACAGGCTCTCACATTAATTTCCCAAAATTCAACACGACCTTAAATAATAAGCCACCGGCCTTAATACAATGCAGTACAATTTACATTTATGTGGCACCTTTCATTTCAGGAGGACATCGCAAAGCTCGTTAAGGCTAAGACCCTGAGAGATTTTGGTCCTGGGGCAACTGATGCTTCCCCTCAACAACCATGCTGTATTTTCAGTTTATATTTTTTCAATCCAAAGACTTACTGAGGCCACAAACACGTCCCCGATCATTTCTGCCGAATCCCAGTCAGTCATGCGACTTGCCAATGCCATCTGGAACAGGCAGTGACACTGAAGAATCTCTTTGATTCGGTAAAACACCATCTTCAGTTTCCTCTCACTTAACAGCTTCGGGTCCATCTCTGACAGAGGTTTCTTGTATTGCTGCGGGGCGCAGAAAAGAAACAAACCACACACAAAAGGTTTACCCAAAGACTGTTGGAAAATAAGAATAAGGCGGGTAATTGGAGTTGAGGTATAGATAAGCCTTGATCTAATAGAATGATGGAACAGGCTCAAGGCCTACTCCTGTTCCTATGCTTCTATGAAATAGTTCTTTCCAACCCTGAAATTGTGCCTGGGCTTATCTAAAAGTATTGTTCTGAATTGACTTTCTCAATCCCATTTAGAATCTTACATACTCCTTATATATTGTATGTGTTTATAATATCTTAGGTATAAGGATTGTGTATACACAGGTCTTATGGAATGATTTTACTTTACCTCTAATATCCGTTTTAAGGCATCCACGTAATTCTTCTCGCTTTCCACAATTGACCCGAGAATGTATCTTCTGACAACCTGTGCACAAATGAAACTTCGCTTATCACCTGGCAGTAAAGACACTGAAGAAGATGCTGCCTTTTTTTGTAAAGTACAATGCAATACAATTTGTATTTATATGCTTTATAACGTCGGGAGGACCTCTAAAAGTGTTTACAAATACTTTTACTGCATCCCCATCAATAAAAAGGCCACACAATATCTTAAAATAAATAATCCTTGTTTTGATGCAGCACCTATAATGTCGGAACGTCTCAAAGCGCTTCACAAGTAATTGCTATAATGTCTAGTCACTGTGCATTTGTAGGCGAATACAGCAGTCAATTTACGCATGACACCTATGAAGTAAAAGACCAGGTAAGAGGAAAAAAAAGGACAAAAAATTGCCAGAGAAAGAAATTTAAAAAACAGTTGTTCAGAACCTGAGGAAAGTATTTGAGTTATGGCTTCACTCTTTCCATTTCCTTCCAAATTTTCTTCCCTAGGCCTTCGACGGCATGTATTATGCTGCAATTCTGTTCCAGAGGCATCAATGGTCAAGCTCATTCGTTGAAGATAATTCTTTGCATCAGATAAAATTGGCAACGTGTAAATCTCTTTTTGTACGTAATACTAAGATTTCAGGCTAACAAGACCTGGTGCCCTCAAAATTCCTCATGATCTTAGCCTTAGATATGCAATTGCGCAGAATTTTGGAAAGTTGGGTCCAACCTTAAATCGGTCCCAATATAGAAGCCGGTTCCTTTGAAAAACTGCAGAAAAACGATTTTCAAATAAAAAGTGAATTCAAAAACTTTCCAAAATTTTGGACGACCTTAAATCTTAAGGCAATTGACACTGAGCAATTTTGGATTTACTCTATTTACGTAACGTTTTAAGAGCATCTGGAATTTGGCAAATTGTTGACCGCGGTTTATGATATTCCTTACACGAAACGTAAAGAAAACCAGATTACAATACAATTTACATTTACATAGCGCCTTTCAAGTCAAGGGAAGTCCCAAAGTACATTTACAGTGTTGCATGGGCACCTGAGCTGGGGATGGGAGCCGAGGGAGTGCGGAGGGGAAAGATGACCGAAAGCACAGTCAAAGAGGTACGTTTTTTAAGACGCACCTTTGCAATTAATTCTTTGGTTAAGAACTTGCCAAACTCTGGACGCTCTGAAATGCTGCATAAATCAATTAAATCTAGATCCGGGTGGAATTTCTCCCTCAGAGTCTCTGATTTCTTGTTTTGAATACGACATAGCTAGTTCTCTTCACCAGTAATGCCTGCCAGATTCCAGAACATTCCAGCAGTATAACCAAAAGACACTGATTCACATTACAAAGCACATCTTGTACAAGTTCTTTTTTAAAAAAAGACTGCCAGTCAGTTTTCTGAATGCAATTCTGGATAAATCATTCAACTGGATTAAAATTGGCAACGTGTAAATCTCATTTTGTACATAATGCTGAAACAGGTTTTCAGGCTAACGAGACTCAGTGCCTCTGAAATTTCTCAGGATCTTAGCCTTAAGACTATTGTCTTAAAACTTGAAGCGATGGAGAATTTTGGAAAGTTCAATCCAAACATAAATCTGTCCCCAATATGGAAGACTGTTCTTTTGCAGAAAAACTTTATAGACGTTACCTGTTGCTGGGTTAACCCCTCAGGCATCGGTGTCATTACTGGTTCAATTTGATTGCACTCCACGTCGATAAATAAATTCTGTTCCTCTTCTTCCAGGTAGCCAGCCCTTTGCTCTGAAACACAGATTATGTGCAAAGGAAAATGCTTAAAATTCTAAGTATTCTGAAGGTGAATCAGGGGGTGCGGGGGAGTGAAAGTGCATACTGGTATTCTACTACAATGTGTCTTTGCATTATTTCTTACTCTCCTGTCAAAATATCTCCTTCCTTTATCTCACATCTTGACATTTCAGTTCTACTGAGGATTTATTGAAAGCTCTCTTTCTCCCAATGTTAACCTTTGATCTCTCTGATTCATGACAAAGGCTCATTGATTTAAGATAGTTAGCGAACAAGCAAATGAGGAGATTAAGAAAAATTGTTTCACACACAGAATAGAGTAATTAGGATGTGGAATGCCCTGCCATGAGAAATAGTTGAGGCAGAATCCATATTAGCTTTCAAAAGGGAACTAGAGAAATACCTAACAAGGAGTCAACTCACCGTGATATCTGTGTCTAATAAATGAACGTCCCCTCTTAAGAACCGCGGCTTTCGTCTTTTCTAATCCATCTTTAGTGCCTTCCCTTGCAGCCTTCATTAACTGCTGCATCTGAAAGTTAACAATAAATAACAATAATAATGCTTGCATTTCATATAGCGTCTTATCATTTCATCTCAAAGCCCTTCACAGGATATAGTGTAAAGTGGATTTTGTAGGCAAAAAATGCAGCAACAAGTTACACATAGCAATGTCCCACAAACAGCCATGAAATGAGTGACCAATTTTATTTGGGAGATTGTTGGCGAAGACACCAGGAGAAACTCCCTTCTCTTTTCGAATAACCCCTTAGGATCTTTAACGTCCGTCTGAAATGGCAGGTAGGAGTTCGGTTTAATGTCTCATCCGAAGGATGGCACCTCCAACAATACAAAACCCCCCCAGCACTGCATTGGAGTGTCATCTTAGACCACGTGTGTTCATATACTGGTGTGGGATGAAGCAATTTATCGAGGCTTTAGAACTGTAACAGTAGAAGGAAAATCCAGCTAAAAGCCCTCAGGTGAGCTGAGGGCTGGGGGAGTAATAAATGGGAGATAAAATTGGCAAAGGAGAGAGAGAAAAAAAATTCCATCAAATGGATTTTTTTGTTAAACGTTTAATCTGGGATGGTTTTCTATCAGAGAAGCAAAGTGAATTGGAACCTACAACTCTGTGAAGTACAATTGTAGAATTGCCTCATCCAGGCGTTGATTTTAAATTGAATCTGAAATAGCACTAAAAATATATAAATATATATATTTCAGTGAAAGGCAGACACCAAGAACCATTCAGCTTTTGATTTAAGGGACAGTGATTACAGGATTGTAGTAGAAGTGCAGTTAACCAGCTCTCGAACAGATGTTCTCTGGCTCCACTAAATAATTTTCGTGTCTAGCTCTGCAGAATAATTCCTCCCACTCTCCACCTTCTACATTCATGGGAACTGTGCAGATATGCTTCAATGGGCCACTACTGTAGCAGAGTTCAAGTACAAAGCACGTGCATTATGTGGACAACAAACACCCATCATAAGGTATAAAATTAAGAATGTAATGCATTATACACTTTTATGTATTGTACACAACTCTCCTCTCTAACTCAAGCTAATCAGGCTATAAATGCTCGACTTTAGAGCTACCTGACTGTACAGGACGGACTTACCAATAAATCTGCTGGTGTGATTTTACCCTTGGGTTTTCATTCAGAGGTTGAATTGGCGATATTTCTTAATGGGATTCCTTCCCATGGGAACTCTGCTCTGGAAGAGGATCTTGTGAGAGCGGAGGTCAGATCGATTTCAAGATCCTCACTCTCACTTTCAAATCTCTTCACGCCCTGGCACCTCTTTCCCTCTCCCATCTGCTCACACCACTCCATTACCCCCTTCCCCCCTCCTTTGTTCAGCTGGCTTGCATCTTCTGCACGTCCCTTGTACCCTCTGCTCTACAATTGTCTGTCATGCTTTCAGGAACTATGCCCCCAATCTCTGGAACTCCCTGCCTCAAGTTACTCCATCTCGCCCTCTCTTTGCCCGACTAAAAATCACACCTAAAGAATTCCCTCTTCAACAGTGCCTTCGATCACCTCCCTCTCCCCTTCTGACTTGGTGTCAAGATACACTGCTGTTAAGAACTCCGAGATACTACCCGTGTGAAGGCCGCGGTATAAATGCAAGTTGCAGTTGAATATTGCCGTGGGATCATGAATATCCACCTCAGTTTGAAACAAAAAACATCAACAATAACCACAAGACTGTTCATGCACGTGCTAAAACAGTTAACATACGAGTAATCACCGGCAATAATAAATCATAAAAATAACTAATTTGATGGGTATAAAAATTCTGAGCAATGCAAAGGGTAAATTATTGGTGGATTCTATCCACTTGGGGGAGCCACAGGCTAAAAAATTGTTGATCAATGCCTGAAGTTTGCAAAATGTTTTCAGACAATGCAACTACAACATGTGACTGGGCAATGGGGGGGAGAGAGTGAGGAGAATGAACAGCATCCAATGTAAATCTCAGGAATCCAGGTCACCAGTACTCTGCCCACTTGTACGTTGATATTGCTTAAGCCTCCGTCGACTCAAATTCCTCTCCTGTTCTGGTTCCACGGGATTCTTTGTCAAACATTGTAAAGGTCAATTAGGTAACTTCTTGCAGGAGAGAGAAGAATCCTCACACATTCACAGCATACTATACATATGGTTTACACTATACACACTCCTCATATGGTTTAATATTATTTTCCTTCAAATATTAATGCAATTTGCTTTTAAATGCTATTTATAATAATAATCCTTGCATTTGATATAGCGCTTTTCACATCTTCTAGACGTCTCAAAGCGCTTCACAGAATATGCTGTAAAGTGAATTGACTGTATATTTGTGGGCGAAACGCGGCAGCCAATTGCGCACAGCAATGTCCCACAAACAGTCGTGGATTGAAAATGACCAATTTATTATTGTTTTGTTTTGGAGGGATTATTATTAGGCTCTGTGTGGAGTAAGGAAACTTGCCCAAGGTTTCGCCCTGCCTGGGATTGAACCCAAGTGTCTCGCTTGCAAGGCGAGTGCTCTAACCACTGAGCTACAGGACTCCACTTTGTAATCGACTGTAGGACAAATGACATCCAGTGGAGTGCTTCAAAAGTGCTGTATTGTCAGAGGTACTGTCCTTTGGATGAGACATTAAATCGAAGCCCCATCTGCTTGTTGAGGTGGACAACAAAGATCCCATGGCACAATTTGAAAAGAGAAGGGAGTTTCTCCCATTGTCCTGGCCATCAATCCCGCACCTCCCAAAAGAATATTAGTCATTTGCTTCGTGGCTACTTGGTGCAACATTGCTGTGTCAAAATGTTCTGCCTACAAATACAGTCAACACACTGTTCACAAAACACAACCATCTGAGTAACAGTAAGCAATGCAAAGCATGTGCATCTATTGCACTGATCAACCTGACATGGACTCAAGACTATATCAGTCCAAGATTTCTTTCAGCCTTGCAGTCTACGTGTCGAGAACTTTGATAAATATGTATTCAGGGAAAATGTTCCTCTACTTTGCTGGCAATCTAGGGGTTAAATTATACTTCTCCAGGTTTTGACCAACAATCCCCTCCTACAAATTGGACACTAAAAACATGGCTGTTTGTAGGACATTGTTGTGGGCAATTGTGTGTAATTGGCTGCCGCATTTCACCCAGAAAATGTAGTCACTGCACTTTACATTATATCCTGTGTAGCGTTTTGAGATGTTTATGGAAGTAATATTATTATATTATTATTAAATCCAACAGTCCCTCACAAAAAACACTCTGGGATACATTGTACTGCATTCCCTCCCCCATGTGTCAGCCTAGTCTATGAGCTCAAAATCCCGACATAGGGCTTGAACCGACAACTCTCAGACTCAGATCGCTACCAACTGAGCCAAGCTGACACCCAACAGTAAATCATAATAAACCTTGCATTTGATATTGAACTTGTGACTTAAAAAAAACATATTCCCTAAGCTTTTTCATTTTCTTATAAAGATTAATTTCCACGGTAAATTTTGTCCACTGTTGCTCAAATCCATTGGTTACATTGTAAGATTATTTTCAGGACTCCATTTAACTTTCCGTGTACATATTGTGTTTTTGGCATGTGTGCATTAACAAGGATTAGTAGCAAATTGTTGTGCCATTGTGGATATGGATACCCGATCTTGTTCTTAAATAGATGCCAATGTGATCCCATTGATTAAATAGTTTAAATAGCTTTCAGATAGAAACACTTAGTAAAATAAATCATACTGGGATTTGAAATCCATGGCCCTTTAACCCAGAATATTTTATAAAAGCAGTTGTTTTTACCCATGAGAAAATCCTTACATCATTGCTGACAGCTTTTTCTAAAGAATAAATGTAGCACCTTTCACGAGGAGATGCTGGATTTCCTTGAATCCAAGATCAAGGGAATCCGCTCCGCGGTCACTTCCCCTCCAACTTCCACCCACCACCCACCCCTTCCCTCCCACACTCCGACTCCTACCCATCCTCCCCTACACACCTTCGTACCCGTTTCCCCACCCTCTGTCACTGAACTCATCCTATCCCTAAAACCAACCACCTGCTCCCTTGACCCCATCCCCACTCCACTCCTTATCTCCCAGCTCCACTTTCTTGCCCCACATATCACTGACATCATCAACCTGTCCCTCTCCTCTGGCTCTGTCCCCATTCCATTAAAAACTGCCATCATCACGCCCACCCTGAAAAAACCCTCCCTTGATGCGTCGCAGCTATCAAGCTACCGGCCCATCTCCAACCTCCCCTTTCTCTCCAAGGTCTTGGAAAGAGTTGTCGCCTCCCAACTGCGCTCTTTCCTTTCCACCCATTCTCTTTTTGAACCCCTTCAGTCAGGTTTCCGTGCTGCCATAGCACAGAAACTGCCCTGGTCAAGGTCACCAATGATATCCTGACCATCTGTGACCAGGGCTCCCTCTGTCTCCTCGTCCTCCTCGACCTATCGGCAGCATTCGATACGGTCGACCACGCTATCCTACTCCACCGCTTGTCCTCCCACCTCAACCTTCAAGGCACTGTCCTTGAATGGTTTAGGTCGTACCTTTCTCACCGTCTTCACTTTGTCTCAACGAATGGCTTCTCCTCCACCCCCCGTACTGTCTCATGTGGTGTCCCTCAGGGCTCTGTCCTCGGTCCCCTCCTCTTCACCCTCTATATGCTCCCCCTCGGTGACATCATCCGCAGACATGGAGTTAACTTCCACATGTATGCGGATGACACCCAACTCTACCTTTCCTCCTCTACTCTCAACTCCACGACCACCGATGTCCTGACAGCCTGCCTGTCCGACATCGAGTCCTGGACGAGAGACAACTTTCTTCAGCTCAACGTGCGAAAAACCGAGGCCCTCCTGATTGGCTCACGTCAGCGCCTCCGCACCTCAGGCGCTGACACCATCAGCATCCAAGGCTGCACTCTCCACCTCTCAAAGCCAGTCAGGAACCTCGGCGTTTTGTTCGACCCTGAGCTGTCCTTTCTCCCTCACATCCGCACCACAACTGGCACCGCCTTCCATCACCTCCGGAATATCGCCAGACTACGGCACTACCTCACCCCTCACGCTGCTGAAACCCTGGTTCACGCCTTTGTCACCTCAAGGCTGGACTATGGGAACTCTCTCCTCGCCGGCCTTCCCGCCACCTCCCTCCACAAGCTGCAGGTCATTCAGAACTCTGCAGCTCGTGTACTGTCCCGCACCAGGCTTCGGGACCACATCACTCCCACCCTCGCTCGCCTCCACTGGCTCCCCATCCCCCAGAGGATTGATTTCAAGATCCTCATCCTCACCTACAAGGCCATTCACGGCCTTGCTCCCTCCTACCTCTCCAACCTACTATCCCCCTACCTACCTGCCCGTACCCTCCGTTCCTCTGGCTCCGGTCTGCTCCACGTCCCCCGCCCCAACCGCCCTACCATCGGTGGTCGGGCCTTCAGCCTCTCAGCCCCCAGGCTCTGGAACTCCATCCCCCAGTGCCTTCGCCTTGCTTCCTCCCTTTCCTCCTTCAAGGCCGGTCTCAAAACCTTTCTCTTTGACCGTGCCTTCAGCTCCCCTCTCGACTCTCTTCCCCCTCCTCGCTCCCTCCCTTCCCTCCCCTCACCCTGACCATTTCCCCCTCCTCGCTCCCTCCCTTCCCTCCCCTCACCCTGACCATTTCCCCCCTGCTCGGGTCATGACCCAACTGTGCAGCGCCTTGGGACGTCCTCCTGACGTGAAAGGCGCTTTATAAATGGAATCTTGTTGTTGTTGTTGTTTCACTTCAGGCAGATATCTGACAGCTTGAGCTGGGGTGAAAGTACGGTTGAAGAGAGGTTTTAAGAGCAAGTGTTGAAGGCAGGGAGGAGGGAATGGAGTTCGAGAGAGCAGGGGTATAATGTTGCAGGCTCACCGACCAATGGTGAGGTGGAGTAGGTGAGGGATGAATAAAGAGTTGATAGAGAGCTGGGTTTGTCCAATGGAGCTGATATTGATATTAATGTTAAAACATGTACAGCAATTCTGGCATTGGGCAGTACCTTCCACTCCTGCTTTTGTTTCAGTTGCTGCAGTTCCACACCGCCGACTGCGTTTGCCAGTTCCTTCATCTTCTTCTCATAGTGTTCTTTTAAACGACCCAGGTCCTGGGAAAGCTGGAAAAATTTAGTTCACTCACAATTTCAGCCAAACACCAGCATGGTCACTTAAAAGTCAGAGAGTCGGGGAGTAGGTTGGGGGGGGGGGGGGAGGAAGGGAAGAAGATTGGAAGAGGGAATTGACAGGCAGACAGAAAAGTAAGTAACTGTGGACAGCAGGTATAATAATAATTAATAATAACAATAATAATAATTAATATATCAATCTACAAATTGAATGCGGACATATGTGGCAGTATAAAACAAATTTAGTTCCTCTAGTCATCAACTGGGGCTGTTAATGAAATTATTCAGAAATGGCTTGACAACATACCTGGTGAACAAAATATCAACCTCCTGCAAAAAGAAGCTATTTTAGGTGGTTCCACCATACTAAGAAAGTTAACATCCATTCATATGTAACGTGGCAATTTATTGGTCTGGCTGACCCATCATTGAAAACCATTTAGAAATTACCCCCACAGAATGATTTAAACCATAAAAACATGATAATAATACTTGCATTTGGTATAGCACCTTCCAAGTTGGAAGGACATCTCAAAGAGCTTCATAAGATTTACTGTAAAGTGTAACTGTGATTTGTAGGCAAAGTTATATAGCTTAGACTATGTGAGTTCAAAATCCCAATGTGGGGCTTGAACTCACGACCTTCTGTCTCAGATGCGAGAGTGCTACCAATGGAGCTAAGTTGACACGAATCCTTTTCAGTTGTTACCGCACGATTGAGCCGAATGGCTCCCTAGGAAGGGAGGGGATACGTACTTGTCTCTTATTCTTATGGGATTTGCCTTGCAGGAAAGAGTTAGGGAATCCATTCTCGTTTTTCAAATCTGTGTCACTTTGCTCATCGTAGCTCTCAAACTCACTGGAGCTCCAGCCGTAGTCCAAGGAACTTGTTGCAGCCTCGTCTCCATGTTCTACATCATCATAGATCAGCTCCTCTGGGTCTAGCACAAAGTAAAAATGACAGTCGCTTATACAAGCTTCATCTCAAAGTGTTTTGTTGTTTTTGTTTATAAAGTGTATATATATTCTTGTATTTTATCATGTTTTATCATAACATTAGCAGCAAAGCGAAATCAAATGTGCTGTGTCTTTTGGTTGCCCTCACAAACAGTTTAATTCAGTATGCAACAATATTCGAGTGCAAAGGATTGATTTCATAGAGTGGTGAGTCCACATTAACCTGCACAACTAACCTGTTATGGACGCATCTGAATTTTCCCTTGGTACGTCATCATAAATGACTTCATCCTGACCTGTAAGGGCAGACAGAATTTTTTTTAATTCTTCAGCCATTACTTTGCATATAATGTTTAAGCCACCCTTAGTGAGTGCTTTGTGTGTGCCTGTTGGCCACATAAAATCCTCAATCACTGTACTCATTGGGGATCAGTCCCGGGTTCCATCTCTGGTCTGCGCTGACTTAACACTTGCAGCTGGGTCTTGTCAACCAAATGGGACCCTCTAGTTCCCCTCAACGTCTGGGGTAATCAGAGGATGAGTTAGCCAGCGTGCCTGTTCCTGATCATTATTCAACGGTTCCTGCTGAAATGTACCATATATGTGGGGGGAGGGGGTGGAAAAGGTATGGTTTATGTGAGTCCTGTTGAGGGAAGACAGGATCAGGCTGGGTTGAAGTTCTCCTAAGTTGAAGAATAGCCTGAATAGCCTTCCATCACTCACTGTCTTGTTAATACAATAATAATGGGCACTTTGGCAAAGCAGCGGAGAGTTGCTTGCCGGTGCCTATTAAGACCATTCGTACTCCAGCATGACCATAAAATGACATGGAGTCTGACTTTCTTGATGTATTTGGTCCCTACCTTCCAGCCAAGCTGTATTGGCAGGGTCTGAAGCCCATCTCGTAAAGGCATCTCCTTCTTCCAAACCAATGTTATCTTCACTACAATGAAAAGGCAAAAACCTTTAGTCAGAACAGGTGCACAGAACCAAACAAATATGGCAGCTACTCACACTAAAATCTCGGCTCCCATTCTGAGATTTAATAGAATCCTGTTGTTACAGAGTCTATACATTGCAGCTGTGAACCTGATTGTCCTGTATTATTTGCATTTTTTTTTGGACAGCCGATGTCTGACACATGTGGAAACCCATGAACATGTTTAAGAGTATCCAAACTAAGCTGAGATTTCCATGCATCCCACCTACACTTGGAAATCCCAGAGATAGATTATTGGAATGGAATGTGCACTCTCTCCCTAGAGGGACGCTTAGCATTTGCAGAGTACTGTGACTCATGAAGTTCAAGGTTTGAAGCCTGATTGATACACATGTTTATATTTTAATGGAAAGAAATGGCATGGAAAGGTAAGGATTAACATTGCCACGTCACTTAAATCACAACTAAATACTTTTTGAGTTTTGATATAGCGCTTTTCCCGGCGGGAGGACTTCTCAAAGAGCGTCACAAATATACTGTAAAGTGTAGTGACTGTGTGCTTAGTCGCTTAAAAGTTGCTGTACTCTCCAAGCCAAGAAAGAGGATTCAAAGGAGTGTGAAACCGGCCAAGCTGCTTGCCTCCTCTCCTGGTGTAACCTGATTCTCGCTGTAATCCTATGGAGTTCATTGTCCACTGGTTTGTAATCTAATAGTTATTTTGCACATTTGTTTTTTGTTCCTGCCTGGTAGTGAGGCTGAGTAAACATGTTGCCCATAGTCCTCTCCCAATCATTGCTCTAACCACACGCTTGAAAGCTTGGAATAAACAGCCCCGAGTGATGAAAAACTCTTTCCCTCCCTCCCGTCTCTCCCTCCCCGGAATTAATTACTGCCCCTGGCACTTTGCCATGACACCCAGGTTCAGAGCACTAACTTGCTAAATGAGACAAACGGCAGACAAATAATAACAACACTTGCATTTAATACGAGTATAGTGGCTTTTACGCTATAGAGTCGTCTCAAAGTGCTTTACGGGATGCTTGTGTGCTATAATGCTATGCGGTCCATTATAATGATAGTAATCCTTGCATTTGATATAGCGCCTTATCACGTCGTTGAGACGTCTCAAGCACTTCACAGGATATACAACAACGACAACTTGGATTTATATAGCGCCCTCCACGCCGGATGGCATCTCAGAGCATTTGATACTATATTTTAAAAGTGAACTGACTGTATATTTTGTAGGGGAAATCTTATGTTCTATTGTATAACCTAATAGCTAACTTATAGGTTTGTTTCACATTCCTAGCATCAAATCACCACATCAATAGGTCACACTTTCCACCCTGTTCATCTCTTATCAGTTTCTCCTGGTATCCAGACCAGCCAGTCCGACCAGATAGAATTGGTGGTTCACTTCACAACTGCTTGTGAGACAATACTGTGTGCAAATTGGCTGCCTCGTTTGCTTACAGAATACAATCTACAGTCTATCCTTGTGAAGCTCTTTGAGATATTTCAAAGATGTGATCAGGCACTATAAAAAATGCAAGGATTACAGTCATTGCACTTCACAGAAAATCTACAACAATGTCCCACAAACAGCCATGAAGTGAATGGATGATTTTATCTGGAGGGTCGTGAAACGCCCGTCTCTTTTTGAACAGTTCTGTATAGACTTCTCACGTTCTTTAGAGGGTCACATATTAGACCCCAATTTGAGTGACGTTGGTGACACTGATGCTCTCAGGGGGGAAAAAATCAGAGGCAAAAAAAGATTAAAAGAGAGAAGAGTAAGGAGCTGTGACTTACCCAACTTGCTGACTGTCTGGCTGGGTAGGATCACCGTGACAATTCTTGCCTCTATAGGATGCTGTGAACACACAGGAAATCATAAAATCATTGCATGGTCCCACGACTTGGGTTACTGTCACTCCAAGGCTAGAAATGTGCCAGTAGAATAACCTCCTGCCTCTGAGTACCCTCCGCCTATTGAAGGCTGAACTCCAGCAGATACTGAATCAATTTCAACATTGAATCCAGATACAGACAACAGTTGCCCAATGATCAGAACAATCATGGGGCCGGGGGTGGGGGGATGAGGGGGAAAGAGAAAGAGAATGTTGTATTCCTATACACGTTCCATTCCTTAATTATCAGATGGAGATAACTGAGGAATGTTTTAGCGTCTGGACAAGAAAGGCAGATAATATGTGTCCTTAAAAGAACCCAGATAGCAAGATTGTGACTTACATCATGTCATCTCCGCCCCCTCCTCCACCAACTTCCAGACAATGGTTTCTCCCACAGGCTCTTCCGATTCCCATGTTATTTTCTCTGCCACCAAAGACTCCGAGGCTTTGACTCCAGCCCCCCTCCCCCCTCTCACCACAGTTTAACTTCTGGACTTTCATTTCTAAATTTAACTTTAAAAAAGAAATGTGAAGTGCTGTGAACATAGAAACAGGAATAGGCCATTCAGCCCCTCAAACCTGTTCTACCATTCTATAAGATCATGGCTGATCTATAGCTCAAGTCCAGTTACCCTCCCTTGCCCCGTATCCATTAATTAACCTAATTAATATCTGTCCACCTCAGTCTTGAAAATGTGAATGGATCCAACATCCTCAGCCTTTTGGGGTTGAGAGTTCCAGATTTTCACAACCCCTTTGGGTGAAAAACTGTCTCCTAATTTCATTCCTAAATGACCTCGCTCTAATTTTAAGATTATGCCCCTTTGTTCTGGGTTCCCCCACCAGGGGAAATAGTTTCTCTGAATCTACCCTATTGAATCTCTTTATTATTTTAAAAAAATGCAATCAGATCACCCCTCAACCTTCTAAACTCAAGAGAATAGAGACCAAGTTTATACAACTTGTCCTCATAATATAACCCTTTAAGCCCTATATCTGGTGCATCAAATCACCTCTCCTCAGGCTGAATGAATGCTTTCGATGACTTTGCTTACTAGAACATGAAATGTCCAGTGTTCAGAAACCTGAATGGTTCATCACAAGATTAGTTTGGATGAAGAAAGTCCTTCAGCCCACACGATCTCATTCTTCCAGAACACCGACCCTATCATCCCCCATCACTACATCAAGATTTTTTTTTAAATGAGTCCAGTGCCTTGTCCTCAACCACTGTTCTTGCCAACCTGTTCCAGTCATTGATTACCCTCTGAGTAAAGAAAAACGTTGTCACTAATGGTGGCAATTCCGATGGAATCTCCTTACCTTCCTCATCAACAGAAATGTTCCTTATTATAGGAACAGGCGCAGAATAAGTCGGAATCAGCATTGGCACATTGGATGGTACAGCATAACTGCAGGCAGCTGGCACACAGTATCCAGTGGGTACTACAGGGCTACTTGGCCCGTTGTCCTGGTTACTCTGCTCTGCTCCTGGAGATTGATCGGCTCTCTGCAGTGGCGTGATGTTTATGACCGAGTATGGGTTGGCTTTAGCTGGTGGTTCGGCATCAGACGACTTCTCTGTTTGAGGGGACAGGCTGGTGGTTGCACCTTCTTCTGTGAGAAACAAAAAAATCTTTAAGTTTGGTCGAAGTAACATTTTAGGAACATAGGAAATGTAAGATGACGGTCCATCCAGCTTGCCTTCCACTTTCTAATTTGTGATTGAAAGAATCAACATTTTCTGCTTCCACCGTCTCCCTCGGCGAGTCCTGGACGAGAGACAACTTTCTTCAGCTCAACGTGCGAAAAACCGAGGCCCTCCTGATTGGTTCGCGTCAGCGCCTCCGCACCTCAGGCGCCGACACCATCAGCATCCAAGGCTGCACTCTCCACCTCTCAAAGCCAGTCAGGAACCTCGGCGTTTTGTTCGACCCTGAGCTGTCCTTTCTCCCTCACATCCGCACCACAACTGGCACCGCCTTCCATCACCTCCGGAACATCGCCAGACTACGGCACTACCTCACCCCTCACGCTGCTGAAACCCTGGTTCACGCCTTTGTCACCTCAAGGCTGGACTATGGGAACTCTCTCCTCGCCGGCCTTCCCGCCACCTCCCTCCACAAGCTGCAGGTCATTCAGAACTCTGCAGCTCGTGTACTGTCCCGCACCAGACACCGCGACCACATCACTCCCACCCTCGCTCGCCTCCACTGGCTCCCCATCCCCCAGAGGATTGATTTCAAGATCCTCATCCTCACCTACAAGGCCATTCACGGCCTTGCTCCCTCCTACCTCTCCAACCTACTATCCCCCTACCTACCTGTCCGTACCCTCCGTTCCTCTGGCTCCGGTCTGCTCCACGTCCCCCGCCCCAACCGCCCTACCATCGGTGGCCGGGCCTTCAGCCTCTCAGCCCCGAGGCTCTGGAACTCTATCCCCCAGTGCCTTCTCCTTGCTTCCTCCCTCTCCTCCTTCAAGGCCGGTCTCAAAACCTTTCTCTTTGACCGAGCCTTCAGCTCCCCTCTCGACTCTCTTCCCCCTTCTCGCTCCCTCCCATCCCTCCCCTCACCCTGACCATTTCCCCCCTGCTCGGGTCATGACCCAACTGTGCAGCGCCTTGGGACGTCCTCCTGACGTGAAAGGCGCTTTATAAATGGAATCTTGTTGTTGTTGTTGTTCTATAGATTTACCAATATTAGATTTTTAATAGTTTTAATTTTTGAAGTTGAATTTGAAGTAAACAGAGCAGATATTAAATAATCGAGTGGGTTTGCTGGTTTAAGGAATCCGGAAATATTGTTTATCCACCGGCTCACGTGATCTCCCTCTGTCACAATTACTTTCAGAGCAGAGTTCCTACGGTTCGATATGATCTATCACATGGCGCAGCATGATGTGGCACGGCATAACATGGTAAAACACCCTATAACATATAATACAATACAGCACAATAATAATCCTTGCATTTGATGTTACCCCTTATCACGTCTTCTCGACGTCTCAAAGCACTTCACTGAATATACTGTAAAGTGAATGTTTTGTGGACGAAACACTGCAGCCAATTGCACACAGCAGTCTCCCTCAAACAGTCATGAATTAAGTGACCAAATTATTATTTACTTAATTTTTGAAGGGATGATTGCACCTGGAAAAGTGATCCGACAATGGACTTAACAACTGGGTTCCTATTTACTTGTAGGTAAGCAGATACGTATGGAGTAAGGAAACATGCCCAATGATTCGCCCTGCCCGGGAATTGAACACCGGTCACTCGCTTGCGAGGCGAGTGCTCTAACCCTTCTTATCCTGTAAGATACAGGACTCCATGATACACGACAATGACATGATGCCATATGACATGACACAACATTTTCCTTACTCCACACGCCTCTGTTTACCTAGCAGTAAATAGGAACCAGGTTGTTAGTTGGTTGGTGGATTGCTTTTCCGGGGATAATAATTCCACCAAAAAATAATAGCAATTTGTTCACTCAATCCACGACTGTTTGTGGGACACTGCTGTGTGCAATTGGCTGCCGCGTTTCGACCACAAAGTATACAGTCAATTCACTTCACAGTATATTCTGTGAAGCACTTTGAGACATCTTCAAGACGTGATAAGACTCTATATCAAATGCAAGGATTATTATTATTATGATATATGAAATGAAATGACATAACATGATGTGATCCCCAGGAATTCCCACTCTTGAGTCCTCAGTTAACAAATCGAGTTTTAGACCTCAGTGCACAAATGAATCCAGCCATTATATTGTTCAGGCGTCTTTTATTAATCTAGTAGTCTTCTCATTTTGGGAATTTATTTTCCTTTGGCCTTTGCCCTACACAGTAACTATTTGCCAGCTGTATTGGTCAATTGGAGACCTTTTCCCAGGCTTATCTCAATGGTAGCTATAAACATCTGCTAGGAAATGCATCAGGTTGCCCTCAGGGTGACTTGCTGTTGGACTTTCCCTCTTTTGTTGCCGGGAATCTGGCCTTTGCTTAAGGATTATCTGCAACTGAGAGAAGAACTAGCTCCCTGTGGGAATCGTGAGACAGCTTCCCTTCTTATCCTGCATCGTAATCAAATTCAACTTTTTTTTAAAAAAACAGAAAACTAACGATAAAAATAATCTTAAATCTTCAGATGGGTTCAGAAAATTTGAGTGATCATTTGCAAGGTGACTTTTTCCTAATTTACATCACTACAAGGTCGAGCAGCAGAAACGACGACAACAACAACAAATTATAGCATATAGTACAATCAGGGTATAGCACCCTTCATGTTGGAAAGATGTCCCAGGTCCCTGGACGATCAAGGGTTTTGGACCCGAGCTGGGAGTTGGAGTCAGGAGGGATGGAGGGCAGGCGGGGGGTGGGGATGGGAGGGTAGCCGCAGTCATGGTCGAAGACAAAATTCTTTAGATGGGACTTGAAGGAGGCAAGAGAGGAGCTGAGGCAGAGGGATTGTGGAATAAAATTCCAGAGTGCGGGGGCAGAGATGCTGAATGCTTGACCACCAACGGTGGGGCAGAAAGTTCGGGGGACCTGAAGCAGACCGGTTTCCGCTGAGCGGAGGGAGCAGACACAGCTGATATGGGGTTAGGAGATCACAGAGATAGTGGGGAGCAAGACTGTGGAGAGCTTTGAAGTGGAGAACAAGGGTTTTGAACTCGATTCTCAAGGAATGGGAAGTCAATGAAGCTGGGCAAGGATGGCGGTGATCAGATCACAGAGCCTGGTGTGGTAGAGGACACAAGCTGCAGAGTTTGGAATAATCTGCAGCTTGTGGAGTGAAGAGTTGGGAAGTCCAGCGAGCAGGCAGTTAGTACATTCACATGTTCTAATGTGAAACACTGCACATCTATAGTAATCCTTGTATTTACACACTCAGTACACTTTACAGTAAATCCTACAAAGTGCTTTGAGACGTCTTTCTAACATGAAAGGGCCTATATATATATATCAACTTCGACCATGCCATCAGACACCCCCCTTCCCCTCCCTCCCTTCTCCCCCCCTGACCCCAGCTCAGGTCTGAAATGCTGTACACTGTCCAGGGACTAGGGACGTCCTCCCGATGTGAAAGGCTCTATACAAATTTAATCCGGTTGTTGCTGTTGTTATTACTTGATGTGGCGCCTTATCACAACTTTGAGAAGTTGCAGCTCTTTCCAGGATTGTAAAGTGTGCACTGTACTGCAAAGGGTGGTGTATTTTGTAGGTGAATGGGGCAGTCAATTTGCAAACAGCAATGTCCCATAAGCACCCATGAAACGAAATGACCAATTTTATCTGGGGAATTGTTGGCCAGGAGGTGAGAAACTGCCTTTACTTCACCACAGGTAAAATCATATCTTCAGTGGAGACTGCTAATCTGACGATCAGATAAAATGAAACAAAAATTCATCGATGGCATCTTTTTTTCTCCATTCCACAGTAACAATAAGCCCTCCCCCAAAAATTTGGTCGAGCAATCCACGAATGTTTGTGGGGCACTGCTGTATGCGATTGGCTGCCGCATTTCGCCTGCAAAATACACAGTCACTCCACTTTACAATATATTCTGTGAAGCACTTTGTGCACTCTCAACGACATGATAGGGCGCTATATCAAATGCAAGGATCATTATATTTTATTACAGTAATCCTCTTATGCTGTAACTGAACAATATATTCTTAGTGGTTACCTGCCTACAGCTGAGACCTGAAATTCCACTTAACATTAGTTTGTAAAACAATTTTGCCTGAAAAATTCAAGTTAATGCAAAATTGTGTCCACATATATATATATATATATATATATATATATATAACCTGCTTGGAGTGTTAATACCTTGTGCCATCGTATCAGTGTTGTGATGGGAATCATTTCTGTGCAAAGTCCCGTTGACGGTTTCCGATACGTCACAATATCCATTGTTCTGAGACTGCGCTTCCAGAGCAGTGTTTTTCTGTGTAGTGCTTGGTACAGAGGTGGGTTTGGTCTCATTGATGTAGCCAGTTGTGGAATCGGAGCTGGCTTGCCTGTCTGCCTCCGGGACCTCATCACTGTCAAAGTCAAACAATTTACCCTCTTCTTCATCGTCAGCATAATCATTTTCCAGCACTAAAAACAAGTGGAAACAGTACAATCAATTAAAGTAATAATGATAATATATTATTATTTGATATATAGCGCCTTCCCCATCAGGAGAACGTTTCAAAGCGTTTCACAGGATTTACTGTTAAGTCTGAATTGATGGTTCGCTTACAAAATACATCAAATTGCAAGGTATCAAACATAAGCATGTGAGCAACTACAGTGGTCCCTGTGGGATCTCCCTGAGAGCCCACAACCAGTGAGATCTTAGGGTGAAAAATATAATGGGGGTGAAGTTTCAATGTACTTTAATTATCATCGCCATTGACTTTGGTCGATCAAATGATATATGTGATGTTTCCATACATTCTTTCACCAAATCAGCGAAAAGCCACGTCCTTTGTTTCGGTATAACTCATTACCTAAATCACATGGTTACCCAGAGTGATGCTGCATGGAAACAGGTCAGTCAGCCCAACTAGTCCATGCCGGTGTTTATAGTAAGTTTTCTGGTAAATACATTGATGCTATTTGCTTCAACCACAGCTTCCATATCCTAACCACCCTTGGAGTGAAGAACTTCCTCCTAAACACCCGTTTAGATCTACCACTAGCTCTCACATATTTACACAACAACATTCATTGATAGTTACGCCCTCTTATTCTTCTAAACTGGGGCAAAATCCAAGCCCTTCCCCACCCTAGGAATTGTTTTACACCAATCAAGATTGAAGTCTTTTGAAGAACATTGCATTAGTGTTGCTTTATTAAATGTCACAAATGTGTGAATAGCTAAATGACCACCAGGTGACAGTACTCCCTCCCAGCATGACGTCTCCTGAGTCTCACACTGGGATTTGAACGCGGAGGATTCCTAAAGAAAATTAGCTTTGGAATGGTTAACTTTTTCATTTCTACCTGTCTCTGTTGTACTATCTTCTTCTGAATCATGGCAAAATTCCCATCCTTCCCATCCCAGGATATGTTTTACACCGATGGAAATCAAAGCCTTTTAAATAACGTTTGCTAATTATACAAAACACAATACAAAATTACATTTGTAAAGCGCCTTTCATGTCGGAAGGACATCCCAAGGCACTGAACAATCAGGGATTAGAACCCAAGCTGGGGGGCGACGGGGGTGGATGGGATCAGGGAAGGTGGAGGGCAGAGAGGTGGCCGAAGGCACGGTCGAAGAGGAAGGCCTTAAGGCGGGCCATGAGGAAACAGGGGAGGGAGCAAGGTGAAGGGAATGTGGGACGGAGTTCCAGAGAGTGGGGCCAGAGTGGCTGAAGGCCTGACCGCCAATAATGGGGCGGGCTGGGTGGATTACATGGAGCAGGAGCATGCCTGCTGAGCAGACAGGTTGATAAGGGGTTAGCAGGTCAGAGAGATGGGTGTAATGGGGACACGGGGCCGACATAATTATCAACTGATACAAATTTTACTCTGATGTTTCACAATTATGTTGGGTGGAAAGAAATCTGTAGTATGTAACACAAGATACAGAAATCCTTTCTCCTCTTGAATAACCCCATTGGTTCTTTAACATTCACCTGAGCAGGTAGAACGAAACTTGGTTAACCTTTCGTCCGAAGACCACCTCCAACCACACAGCACAAAAGCACACCTCCAGCATTGTACTGGAGAATCAGCCGAGACCTCGCGAGCTCAAGGAGTCCTGTAGCTCAGTGCTTAGAGCACTCGCTTTGCAAGTGAGAGACCTGAGTTCAATTCCAGGCAGAGGGCGAAACCTTGGGCAAGTTTCCTTACTCCACACAGAGCCTAATAATAATCCCTCCAAAACCAAAAACAATAATTAAATTGGTCATTTTCAATCTACGACTGTTTGTGGGACATTGCTGTGCGCAATTGGCTGCCGCGTTCGCCCACAAATATACAGTCAATTCACTTTACAGTGTGTTCTGTGAAGCGCTTTGGGACGTCCTCCTGACGTGAAAAGCGCTATATCAAATGCAAGGATTATATTATTATTATTATTATTAAAGTTCTGATATGAACCCACAACTTTCTGACTCAGGGTGAGAGTGCTACCAACTGACACTTGGTTCATTCATCGAAGAAAGGTCAACTTCAACAGATATTTCTCACCATCCACAACGAAAAGATGAAAAAAACACTTAAACCTTTCGCACTGAAAGAAATGTGTATCTTTGCACTGTCATGTTGTGTATAGATAGGAAATAGCAACATGACAGTATTGTAGACACACCTTTGGTTCTTTGACCAGAAGGAGGCAGAGACCTTAAGTGGTAACACAAGCAAAGCAATAATGCTGGCTCGAAGCAATGATCTTTCCTGCCTATCAATTATTTTTGTTTTGCTTTTACTTCAAAGAGTTGAGAGTAGAAGCGTGAACATTGCATGAGAGCCTACATCTAAAATTCAAAAAAAGTTCATGCTTAACTCCTTGCCAAGATGCTCACAGGGTGTTCCTGGTATATTCTGTCACAATTACTCATAACTCAAAACACCTCTTGTGGAACATGAAATGACCAATTAGTGTTTATCCTCCTGGGTGTATATGGCGAGGTAAGTGGGGTGTACAATAGAAATTTACATTTAAGGAGCGCCTTTCATATCAGGAGGATATCCCAAGGCACATGAGTAACTTTGGGGCCTAGCTATCTCCAAAGTGACGTGCTTTGCAACAGATTATTGGAATCGAGTCAACCCTCTGTGGTGATCTTGGTCGTCCGGTTTCTGAGCCAGACAAGTCCACAGTACTCCAGGGTACTGCTGATGACAGACCAGCCAGTCTGGCTCATCAGCAGGGCTAGACCAGTCACTGGAACCTGGGATACTTCCCACATAGCAAGATACTGCATATGTGAAGTAAGAATGGCAATGGAAGGCATATGCACACCATGGATGGGATAGAACCTGCCAAGGGTGAAGCTGAAAGAGATCTAAGGATATTAGTTGACACATCGTTCATCATGTCTAAACAATGTGAGACACCATTAAATAATGCAACCAAAATGATGGGCTTTATTGTGAAACAAGTTGAGTTCAGTTTCCCAGACGTTATAGTAGAGTTGGTCTGGTTATGTTGTCTGACTGCACCTCAAGTACTGTGTAGAGGACAGGAATGCAGAGGATCCCCAGTATTTAAGGAGTGAGCTAACAGTGATGATTAGACAAAGTTGAGCTCTTCAGTCTTCAAAAAACACATCTCCAAAGGGACCTGATAGGGGTATTTAAGATACTAAATGATGATGAAATTAAACTTACATTTAGATCCACCAAGACAGTAGAACATAACTTTAGAGTTGCAAAGGGCAATTTCAGGATAGGCAGGATAGTTTTTCTTTACCCAAAGGGTAATTAATGACTGGAACAAGTTATCGGGAAGGGTGATTGAGGCCAGGAACTGGACTCATTCCAAAAACATGATGCTGTGAGGGGAAGAAGGTAGAATGAGTATTCTGGAGAGATTAAATCAAATGGGCTGAAGGCCCCTTACCCAAACTAATCTTGTAATTTTATGATTGACTGCCACTTCCTCTTTTCAAATAGTATCATAGGATCTTTAACATCCACCCGAACAGGGAGATGAGACCTTGGATTAATATCTCATCCAAAGGATCTCAAATCTTAAGGCCAAACAAACCCATGTGATATTCGTAAACTCCTAGGGAGACATTCCAGCTATGTCTAGATTTGTTTTATTTATATAGCATTTCAGAGTAGCCAGAATTTGGCAAATTCTTAAATAATAGCCTTAAATTTGAAGTTGACTTTCTGTAAGTTATTTTTAAAGAAATACAAAGAAAACAAATTCACAGTTAAGGCTGGATTCAACACCTTGCCAAAGTTATGGATAGTATGAAATTCTAAGAAAACAGTTAATCTCACCACAGGTGAAATTTTCTTCCCAAAAGAGTCAAAGTGATTGTTAATATTTCCTACCAATTTTTCTGTCTCCCGAAATCCAGGAGAAAAGGTCCAAACCATTTGGAGAAAGACCATCTGTTGAACTGTTATGCTTTTTGCACTTCACTGACAATTCCATCTATTGCCACTAGTTTCAACACGCTTCTTCTCAACCTACTGCTAAATCCAAGCATCCCAAGTGAGTAATCTCTTAAGAATCAATCTGTTATCGTTCCAATGCTTCAGTGACTAGAATTCTTGTCATGGCTTGCGTACCTACAGGAGGACTCATTGATTCTCTTTAATTTAATCAGGACCAAAATCAATAAGACAATTTCTCTGCTTAAATTGACCTCAATTGCACTACTCGCCTAAACTGGCGTCATCCTGGCTCAGTTGGTTGCACTCTCACCGCTGAATCAGAAAGCTGTCGGTCAAACCCACAAGGGACTTTGTACCTTCTCCCGACGAGAAAGGCGCCATATAAATACAATTTATTGTTGTTGCATTTGATATAGCGCCTTATCATGTCTTCAAGATGTCTCAAAGTACTTCACAGAATATACTGTAAAGTGAATTGACTGTATATTTTGTGGGCAAAACGCAGCGGCAAATTGCGCACAGCAGTATCCCACAAACAGTCGTGGATTGAGTGATCAAATTATTATTAGTATTTTTTTGAAGGGATTATTACCCCTGGAAAAGTGATGCGCCAATCGACTAACAACCAGGTTCTTAGTTACTGTTGGGTAAACAGAGGCGTGTTCAGTAAGGAAGCTTGCCCAAGGTTTCGCCCTGTCCAGGAATTAAACCCAGGTCCTCTTGCTTGCAAGGGGAGTGCTCTAACCACTAAGCTACAGGGCTCCACAAGTATAGGTATAACTCCTGATGGAACACATTTTTAGTTAGCGCTGTGGCGTGATGTCCAATTATTTGCAGTGTTTGTTAGTGCTCAATGGAGCCGCTCATAATTTGTGCACTTATTGGCTCTCCAGTGTATACAAAAGACTGAAACTCACATCGAACGTATTCATCAAAACATTCGCCCATGATCTTTCCACAACATAACATACAACACTCTTCAACAATCATTACGGGAGGTGTTAGAGATGTAAACATCTATCAATCCT